AGTCTGGAGAAGGTCAAAGAAGCCTTTTTGAAGGAGGTGACCCCAAATAATTCAGCACTGATGCATCATAAAGGGCAGGGCAGGGGGATCAGCAAGAAAGACCCTGAGACCAAAAAGTGAGGCACCTTCCTTACCACGCTAAGGAGCTGTCTCGGGCTCCATTCTGAAGGTTATGGGTGAGGGCAGAGAGCCTAGGAAGGACTTTCTGCATCAGGTGACACAGCTGTATTTGTCCTTTAGACAAGCAGTGTAGGGCAGCAGAAATATCGACTGCACACACCACTGATCGATCGCCTGAACTTCCCCACAAGGCAACGTCACGGTGGCTCCAGTGCCACGGTGCTCTCATCCATCTTGGCGCAGGCAATGTGGAAATCTCACTGACTACCAAGGTCTGATCAAAACCCCCAAAACCTCCAGCCCAGGAGTTTTGAGTAGTAGCAGGATTGTGAGACTGTGATCTGGTTGCAGCTTCGCTCTGTCAACAGTTTTAGCAAAATCCCCTTCCACCTGGGCTGGCAATTTAGAAAGAGCATTTCTGAAACGCTCTGTGGATAAAAGATGTTGCTGTTCTGGGAAAATGTGTCTTGTCTCCTGCCAGGAGAGGACAGAAAGCACTGAAACAGTTCCAAGAGATGCAGTCTAGAGAGGGAAGGTCAAACAGCTCTCCACAGTTCTCTCTCTCTCTCTCTCTCTCTCTCTCTCTCTCTCTCTCTCTCTTTGTGTGTGTCTTGCCTTTTCCATTTTTACATCAGCATCAGTTCCACACACCACCCTACCTCCCCATCCTTTGGAAGGTTAAGTGATGCTTCTTAGGAATATTATATAATTTACTAAAACTCAGGTAAAACGCAGGCTTGCCCACCTGGAGGGAAAGGTACAGACCAGAAAAGTACAGACCAGAAAGGATCCTGTGGCCTCCCCAGGACCCCCCACCCTCCTCTCATTCTTGCATCTGAGCAAATCAAAGCTTGCCTGGTATATGTGTGATGGGTAATATATGCTCTGTGAATCAATGAGTCTCTCTTATAGAATTTTAAATCTGCAATATCAGCAGAAAACCACATCCCATGTCCTCATTTTCACTTTCTTGGGGTAACACAGCAGAGACGGGAGAGGTTATGGGGGAATCTGGGAAAGATTCCTGCCCCCTGCCATACCTGGTGCCACTAAGGAAAGATTTCCTTCCCAGGAGAACAGATGGGGATGAATGAATCAGGACCCATTGTCCCCAGGACAGGCCTGCCCTGGGCGCCTGCCATGGACGGCTGTGTCTATACCCAAGAGGAATAAGAACCTCTGACTCTGAAATCCCTGCCAGAGGCCTCTTCGTGCAAAAACCCACCTGCTTACCTTTCATTGTGGATGTCTGCCAGAGAATCAAGCTTCAAGCCGCACTTGGCCCAGAGCTGTCAAAAGCAACTTAGATCTTTCTACAGGAGGAGATGTGAATGGGTCCAGCGTACAATGGAAGGTTAATTAACATCAGTCTGGAGATTTCATTTCCAGCAGGTGGTTACGCATCACAGGTTCTTTAAGTTTGTTCACAGCTTAGGGGAACAAATCCAAAGGCTTATAAAAAAAATGCACCCCTTAACTCCCGACAACCCACACAATGTCCTTTAGCAAACATGGCTTACAATCTGAGCAGTCATCCTAGACCATGCAGCAAAAGCTGATGTTCCAGAGATCAGAGAAAATCCTTGCAGTTAAAATACTAAATATCTCAGAGAACCTCTTGTTCCCTCTCTGTAAACCTTAGAAAGAAGAGCTTCAATGGCAGACATAGAGGTAAATAGATTTAAACTTTGAGACCTTCGCCCCAGCTGCGTTTCCACGGGTGAGCCTGTAATCCCTGCAGTCTGGGTTCTCCAACCTCCTCCTCCTTACTGTTCTCCAATGGGATCGTTTCAAAAGAGCATTTAAAACCATAACTTTAAATTGTCTAAGATCAAGCATAAAATCAATAACAAGGGGCTGGGGATGTGGCTCAGCAATAGAGCACTCGCCTAGCACATGCGAGGCTCTGGGTTCGATCCTCAGCTTCACATAAAAATAAATAAATAAAATAAAGGTATTGCGCCCAATCACAACTAAAAAGAAAATTTAAAAATCAAAAGCTATATGTGATTTCCATGTGCCTCTATAAATAAATTGAAAATTTGTCTATTTATGTCTCTCCCAAATAAACATGACTGGAAATCAGCAGGGCCTGCGATTCCTGTCTTCAGGCAGATCCTAACAAGAGAGATCCCTGAGCATGTACTGTGCTAACATAGTGGTCCACCTGTCCCTGGCCAGGGGTCCATCCCATAGCAGCACACCTGGGGGCCAGGCTCTTCAGACGACTGAAGAATCTCTCCTTTGGCAACACCTGCTGTCTGCATGTCCCTTGACTTGGCATTTTAAGGAGAAAAAAAAGGGATATAAAACTGTGCCTGTTCTCTGCCCTGGGCTTCTTTCCTGCAACACCTTCAGAAGAATCAAAGTAAGGACTGCCCAGATCTGAGCTGTCCCTTAATGTTGGCTGACTCCAGATAGTGGAAGGTATATCTACCATGTTGAGGAAATGGGCCGATTTGAATGTATGCAACTTCAAGGCAAAGTTCAACTCCAGGTTTATGACCAAACAAAGTGCATTATTCAAGTGTAGTTGTTTTAAATCACCAAGTGCAGTTTAGTAAACTGTGACTGTTAACAGGTTATTCCATTGTGGGCTCATTGTTTTTTGAAAACTTGAGACCATGAGTGAATTAGACCAAACTTTTAACAGTTTTCATTATATGAAAAAAGTTTTTGTTTTTTTTTAATTTATAGTATTTACTGAAATATTTTACACAAGGGCTAGGGCATACCTCAGAGGCAGGGGACATGCTTGGCATGCACTAGGTCCTGGGTTCAATCCTCAGCACCAAGATAAAAAGAAAAAAATATTACATATGGAAAATTGCAGAAATCATGGTGTATAGTGAGTGAACTTTCATCATGTGAACATTCACAGATCTAGAAAGAAAACATCACCAGCATTCAAAAATCTCTTTCCATTCCTTTGAGAAACTACCCTCCAAGGGCACCCACTGTCCTGACCCCTAACACTATAGATCAGTTTCAACTTTACATAGTGGGATCACAGTCTCTACTCTTTTGGGTCCGCCTATAACTCACCAGTATATTTACAAACTACATCCCTGTTGTTGAATATAATGATGGCTGCTTAGTACTCCATTAAGGAAATATATCACAATTTACCCAGTCTACTATAGATGGGCATTTGGGCTATTTCCAGTTTTATACAATGTTGAACAATGTTGCTCTGAACATTCTTGGGGAACATATGTATGCATTTCTGTGAGTCCATAAAGGAGGAGTGAAATCACTGGGTTCCCATTTGTATATCTACATTTTCATATCTCATATATTTACATATGTATGTTCTAAGGTAGATCCTTTTGCAGTGGCCTGACTTCTACTCAAGCTTCCTATCCTTACTCAAGTCTGAAAATAACCCTGAAATAAAAGGGGTAACCTGTGCCTTTATTATCAAGCAATGCTGGCAGTGAGTCTCTGATCAGGTAAATGTCTCCTGGCCCCGAAGTTCCCCCAATCACACACAGACACATGGCCACACCTACAAAAAGGTTTTATGTCTTTAGGGTCCTTCATTCATGATCAGCTTTCAGGTAAGGAACGCAGGTATCTAAGACTGCAGGGACGTTTGAAAAATGCACTGCCATAAAATATACCTCTTGGCTCAGGGGTGACTTGGTGCCTGGTTAAAAAATAACCCACAAAGGGCTGTGGCTGTGGCTCAGTGGTGGCACACTTGCCTGGCATGTGTGAGGTATAGGGTTCAGTTCTCAGCACCACACATAAATAAATAAAATAAAGGTCTATCAACAACTAAAAAAAATTTTTTTTAAATCCACCAAACAAATAAACCATCTAGACTTTGGATCCCAATTTGAATAACTAATACAAAAAATGAGGAAATCTGTAAATATTCAGTAGGTGTTGAATGTTATTATGGAGTTAATGTATTTTTAAGAGAGAATTGTTTTATTTTTATTTTTTTTTAAGTTCTCTCTTAGACACTGAGGGCTGGGATTGTGGCTTAGCGGTAGAGCGCTTACCTAGCATGTGTGAGGCACTGGGTTCGATTCTTAGCACCACATACAAACAAATAAATAAAATAAAGTTCATCAAAAACTAATAAAAAATAATTTAAAAAAAAAGAAATAGACACTGAAGTATTAACAAATGAATTAATCAGATGTCTGCCTTAAAATAATGGAGCAGGGGATAGGAAGGTTTAAGTGAAGAAAAATAATAGCTATTGGTAACTGTTAAGCTGGATGATGGGTAGTGGGGTTCCAAAATCTGATCCTATTTTTGTGTATACCTGAAAATTCCACTTTTTAAAAAAGGACAAGAAAAAAATAAGTCATTCAGTAATGAATATGCTTATCAGCCAGTCCGAACAGCAGTTTGGGGGTAACAGGCATTTAGGCAAGTCCCTCCACGTCCCAAAGCTCGCTCATGCAGATAAGAGAAAATCTTTGAGGGAGATTTCACTTGGGGTCTCAAAAAGCTCAGGGGCCGCAGACCTGTAAAGGAGCCTAAAAGAAATGGGGAAGGCAAGGACTCAACAGTTAAGGCAACTTTAACTTCAGTTCTAATACCTGCACGTGCTCTTGAACACGGCCCCTTTTGTCACTTGCCTATAAAAAAATTAAAATATACAAATGGTCCGGCATGGTGGTTGATAAATATTTGTTTTCCATTTCAATTTCTCGATTTGGCCCAGAACCAGTGATGCTTACATCTAAAACTGGCTGAGCTTGCAACCCTTCCACCTGGGTGCAAAGTGCAAACCCACAGGAGGCTACACGCCGCTCAGGTGCTCACACAGCGCCCTCGTGAGCCGGGGAGAGGAACCGCCGTGGCCCCGCCCCGTCCACTGGCGCCCGCGCCTGCGCAGAGACACCGCCCCCGTAGTTTGTTGTCATCCGAGTCCCGGACGCTTGTGGCGGTGGCAGCGGGACCGGGTTGCGGCGCCACCATGGCGGTGAGACAGGCGCTGGGCCGGGGCCTGCAGCTGGGTCGGTCGCTGCTGCTGCGCTTCACAGCCAAGCCTGGCCCAGCTTGCAGCTGGGGAAGGCCCGGCCCGGCGGCCGGCTGGGGCCGCGGAGAGCGCCGGGGCCGGGCCGCAGGACCCGGCGGAGAGCCGCGCGGGCTCGGACTCCCAGACCGCTACCGCTTTTTCCGCCAGTCGGTGGTCGGGCTGGCGGCGCGGCTCCAGCGGCAGTTCGTGGTGCGCGCCCGGGGCGGCGCGGGCCCTTACGGCCGAGCCGTCTTTCTGGCCTTCGGGCTGGGGTTGGGCCTCATAGAAGAGAAGCAGGCGGAGGGCCGGCGGGCGGCGCTAGCCTGTCAGGAGATCCAGGTGAGCCCAGGCTGCAGGCGCAGCTGCCCTGAGCCAGCGGGACGGGGCTAAGAGTGGAGGCGGGCCTGAGCCGCGCTGGGCGGGGCGGGGCGAACCCTGAGTCAGGCAGGGGCGGGGCTCGGTTCGGGGCGGGGCTGGTGGATGAATCCTCGTCCGAGGTTGGCTGGGCTATAGTTAAGGACAGATCCTGGGCGTTAAGGACAGATAGTTAAGGACAGATGGGGCGTAGCCAGAAGCTGAGGCAAATCTGGAGGCAGCCCTGCGCCGCTAGGGAATTAGGAGTGGGCGGGGGGCGGACCTTGGGTCGCCCGGCTTGGAGCGGGGCTGCGTGCGGGATCCTGATCCGCGATTGGACCCTTCCAGGGGCGGGGCAGGCGGGACTAAGTGCGTAGGTGCTGGATTCCTGGGGTGTCAACGGGGAGGGGAGGAGCTTTGAGCTGGTGTTGGGGAAGGTGAAGGTTAAAGTCAGTTTCGAAACGTTCTGTAGATTCCTTGGAAATCACCAATTAAGTTTGGTATATTTTACCATTGCGAATATCCAACACCTCCCATTTCTTTTATTGATTTCCTTCCTCAAAACAGATTTTGGGAGACGTGTTGCTAATTATAGCTCCAGTTACACCATGGCAAGTGGCTTTGTATAATTTTTCTAAAAGTTTAATGTCAGCAAAGTCATACCACTCTTTTCTGAGGTAGTTGTCATCCCAAATTTTTTAAAAAATATTTTCAGATGTTTATGAAGCTTTATTTTTATTTTACTCATTTATATGTTATGCCCAGAATTGAACCCAGGGCCTCACACTTGCTAGGCAAGTGCTCTACCACTGAGCCACAACCCGAGCCCAGTCATCCCCAATTTCTTTGGAGAAGCACAGATACTCAGAATAAGTGATCTGCTCAAAGCTACGCAGCTAATAAAGGCAGTGCATAAATTCTGGTTTTTCACAGCACATGCTCTTAACCACTGAGGCAGGCTGCCTCCCGGGTTAAGCGAAACAATTAGCCAATAACATAGCTGAACCACAATAAAAATATGAATGGCAGGAGAAAACAGACCTAACATTTAGTTAACCTGTATAGAGTTATCCCTGGTAACTGGATATGACACATAGAGGTTCTTATATTTTCTTAAATGCTTAAATAAATAGCCCAGAGACCTCTGTTTCTGCTCAACCAAAGTTCCAAAGTCAGGGTCCTCCAGACACAACCAAAAGGGTGCATATATTTAAAGGGATCTATTTTAGGACTTGGCTCACTGTGGGCTGGGAAGTCTAAAATCTGCAGGGTAGGCCAGCAGGAGCGGGCTGCAGACCCAGCCAGCTCTGCAGTTCAAGCCTGAAGGCTGTTGGCGGCCAGAATTCCATCCTGTTAGAGGAAGGTCAGTACTTCTCCTGGAGTTGGAAACTTACTGAGTGAGTGCAGCCCTGAATTTTACACGTTAGGGCTGAGAGAGACAGGTCGAAGGACACAGCAGGTGAAGAATCAAGCAGTGTTCCCTGATTTCCAGCCCAGTTCTTGTTCCTCATCACCAGAGTGTCACACGTTTGCGCTCTCACTAGTTTGGAGTGACATATGACATCTGGCTTAATCCTCAGTCTCAATCCTTGTCTTTTGCATGGCTTAACTGGCCAAAGCCAAGGGTGGGAAATTTAATACATTCTGCTTAAAATTAAAGAGACCTTTTTCCTTTCTCAGGCTCACCATTCACACACCCTTTTCTCACACTTCATCCTCCTGTTGTCTTAAATTTTTTAACTACCCATTAATTTCACATTAAAAATTCAGGAATATGACTTCTTTTGAACAAAATCAACCATATCTGACCAGTCTAGTACTAAAAGTCTATGTGGTCAGGCTGGAGTAGGATCATAGCTGTTCCCTGTTTCTAGATGAATACATGTTTGTTTGTTTTTTTAAAATCCAGTCATAAACAAGGCAGAAGGCATGGGTATATATTGCAGAACAGGAGATACAGGTACCAGACGAACATATAGCCACTTGAGAAATGCACATTTAAAACATAATGAGTTCTTTTCTGCACATTTATTAGAACAGCTAAAATAAAAAATGACAATACCAAATTCTGGTGAGGATGTGGAGAAACTGGATCTCTTATATGTTACAGTGTGTGGTAATATAAAATGGAAAGTAATTTGGCAGTTTCTTACAAAACTAAATACATTTGCCATACCACCCTCTCATTGCAGTCTTAGGCATTCACCTGGAGAAATAAAAACCATGTTCACACAAAACCTGTACACAAGTAGCTGCTATGGAAAACAGGATAGCAACTCCTCAAAAAAATCAAAAATATAATCAGCATATCCAGCATTTCCATTGATTAGACACCCAAAACTTTAAATCAAGGATATGAACACATTCAAGGTAGCAGCATTGTTTATAGTAATCAAGAGGTGGAAGTGAGCCACGTGTCCATCCATGGATGAATGGAAAAGTAATATGAGGTATATGCACCCAGTAGAATATAACTCAGCCCTACCAAGGAAGGAGATTCTGACATGTGCTACAACATGGATGAACCTCAAGAATAAATAGTGTATGATTCCACTCATGAGAGATCCCTAGAGTGTCAGATTTGTAGAAAGTAAAATATTTGTTATCAGACACTGGGGGAGAATGGAGAGCTGTTGTTTAGTGGATACAGAATTTCAGTTTTGCAACTGGAGATGGATGGTGTTGATGGCTACACAACAGTGTGGATGTACTTAATGCTGCTGAACCGTACACTTAAAAATGGTTAAGATGAGGGCTGGGGTTGTGGCTCAGGGGTCGAGTACTCACCTAGCACATGCAAGACGCTGGGTTCGATCCTCAGCACCACATACAAACAAAGATGTTGTGTCCGCCGAAAAATAAATATTAAAAAAAATTTCTCTCTCTCTCTCAAAAAAAAAAAAGTTCAAAGTTATAGTGAAAGTGTAGTAGCATATAGTACTTGAGGAATTTTTCAGCAGGAAGGCGCCGTGGGCTGGGACGTCAGGGCTGGTTAGAGAGGGAGGAAGCACTGGCTGAGTCGGAGCCTCGGGCAGTGGGGACAGAGTAGCAAGGAGAGGTAGTTGAGGGGTCAGCTTTGCCAGCCTGGCAAAGCTCGAGGACCAGACACAGTCGTCCCTTGGTATCCAGGGGATGGGTTCCAGCACCCCCCCCTCAGGATACCAAAGTCCTCGAATGCTCAAGTCTCTCCTGAAATGACAGTATTTGCATAGAACCTCTGCGCGCTTTTCTGCATATTGTAACTCATCTCTGAACAACTTATAATACCTAATACGATGTAAATGCCATGTTTATAGAATAATGACCCAAAAAAGGTGCAGGTTCAGTACAAGGCAGTTTTTTTCTGAGTACTTTCCTTCCGCAGTTGGTTGAATCCAGGGATGCAGACATGGGGGGCTGAGTGTATTCAGTGGCCTCCTGGTAGGTTTGTGAGTGGACAGTGACATGTGAAAGCAATGTGGTATGATCTGGCCTGGAGCCAGTGAAGGGACCATGTGATCACGGGAAGTGTGGAGATGGGTGCCCCAGGGGCTCTGCCTAGGAACGTACCAGCTCTCCAACCTGGTGCTGGTGAGTGATTGACCATGGAATTGGAAAAGGGCATCAGCAGATCAGACCATCAGAGGGCAAAGGCAGAGCCTGGGTGACTGGAGAAATGACGTCACCACCACCTGAAGCAGGGGACAGCCCAAATTTGGGGGAAACAGCCCTCTCTTCCTCAGCACCTGTGCCTCCATCTGTCCTGTCAGAGCTCTGGTGGGCCTGCAGAGCCCTCCCAGGCAGGAAGGAAGACCAGATGATGACAGCTCAGGGATGGTCCCCATCTCACCCGCTTGTCTTCCCAAGCAACCCCAAGTGAGGTCACTGTTGCTCCCGCACTCCTGATCGGCAGGCGAGGGCTTCCCAGAGGAGCTGCCTCCACAGTCAGATGCCCAGGTCGCAGCTATTAGGTTGAGGACAGCCAAGGGGCATGTACCGCTGCAGGACCCAGGAGCCCTGGCCTCGCGGCTGACTGGCCACGCTGTGCTGGGCTTGAGCAGGTGACCCCAATGAAGCGAAAGAGTGTGAGAAGGATTGTTCTGAATAAAGAGATGCAGGATGGCCTCAACACAGGACAAGCCGTCAAACTCCACACGGTTGCTTTTATTGACCCTGCCACGCTGTTCCTCTCTGACGTGGCCCCGGGCCAGGGCAGGCTCCTGGCTCACAGTGCATTCTTTTCTCCTTATAGGCAATTTTTACCCAGAAAAACAAGCCAATGCCTGACGCGCTGGACATGCGACGCCGGCAGGGCTTCCGGCTGGAGGACTATCTAATAGGACAGTCCATCGGCAAGGGCTGCAGCGCTGCTGTGTACGAAGCCACCATGCCCGCCCTGTCCCAACACCTGGAGAAGGCAGAGCCCACCGGCGCTCTTCCAGGGAGAGGCCCAGATGTCACCCCACAAGGAGAGGAAGGGGAGCAGGCTCTGGGAGGCCCAGCCTTCCCCTTCGCCATCAAGATGATGTGGAACATCTCGGTAAGGACAGGGACAGGGCCTTTCCTCTCCCAAGTAGGTGTTTCTCAAAATGCCAATCACAGCGGACCTGGCGGAGTCTTTTTCCTGGAAGTACCTAGGAAAAGACAGAGGTTCTCCACAGGAAAGGGGCCCGTGTGATTAGGCTTCCTCGTCCTCTTTTGAGAATCAAGCTGCGTTTCTCCAATTATAACCTCTCCATAGCCCACCTAGAGATCAGGTTCAAAGGTAGAGTTAGCAAGTCAGGATGGGGCCAGAGAGTCCGAGGTTCTTTTCAGCAAGTCCCCAGGTGACGCCAGGGCTGCTGGTCAGTGAAGCACACTTTGAGTAGCAGGTGCCTAGATGGGTGTTTAGTTCATTTCTGGTCACCATGTGGCCACTCTCCCTTCCACCTCCACCCTCCCCCTTCTGTGACCTGCCTCGAGGAGAGGAGGAACCATGCTCCTCTGCTCTGAACCCCCTTAGCCCCACCTCCAGATTAAAGGCTTGCTTGTCACCTCCCTGCTCTCAGCTCTCTCACAAGAACTCAAGGCTTTGGGAGATTTAAGAGTATTTTTCCACACAAAACCAAAAGATTTCTATTTAATGTCTTAGCTTTGCCATTGAAAGATGGGTCCAGAAAATTAATCAAGACCCAGGGTTCTCTCTCCTGCCCAGAGCATCCTTCCAGGCTAAAGGGGACAGCAGCTCATGCTGGGCCCTGGAGAGTGTGGTTTCTTGGCAAATTTTGGGTGTGAAGGTTATTAGGCTGGGTCAACAGCTAACAAGCAGTTGAGTCCTTTGCACGTGAAACTTCCAGTCTTGGAATCAAACTTCCTGGTGGGCATGGCCGGTGTCGCGTTTGCAGAGTAAAGGACTGCAGATGGTTATGTGATTTTCTTGGTTCTTAACAGGCTGTGCAGTCCTGGGAGTTGTTTGTAATGCAATGGGTAAAATCAGGTGCTCTTCCTCCTCCTGGGGTTTCTGTGTTGGGGGATGGGGAAGGCTGCCGTGTGATCCTGAAAAATTAATCCATTTGGAGCTTTTCTGGCTCTAGTCTTTCTGCCAAAGGGAGCCTGCAAAATGAGACTTAGTGACCCAGTGGTCAGTTTTGAGCTGGTGGTGACCAGAGGCATCCAGGAGAGGAAGAAGCATCCCGCGTCTTGGCCATGCTGGCCTCACCTCCTGCACCTCACCTGCCAGGGGCATGGGACACCTCCTCTGATTTGGCATGGATAGCACCTCCCCCCTCCCTCTCCTGGAGGGAACTAGTTTTGGCCTGCTGCTGCTTATCTTATCTTGAAAGTCAAAGCCAAAGCTAGGCAGCAGCTGTACTGATTCAGGGCTCAGAACTTGACAACCCACTTGGTCCTGTGTAACTGGATGCATTTTGTGGATGTTTTCCAGGCGGGCTCTTCCAGTGAAGCCATTTTTAGGAAAATGAGCCAGGAGCTGGTCCCAGCTAGCAGAGTGGCCCTGACTGGGGAGTATGGAGCAGTTACTTACAGGTAAGCTCTCCTCTGCCCACCATGACCACTGTGGGTTGAGAGAAAAATCATCACCAATGTCCTCAGCACTCGGTGTGTTGACCGTGCCACACATCAACCACATTGTGGTTGATGGACTTTCAATTAGTGGGTAATTCAGCTTGGGAAAGATTGAGGATCCTCTGACCCCAACTAGTGATGCGACGGCTCATTCACATTGGAGCAGGTGAGAGAAGGGCATCCAGACATGCCCAGTGGGGATGCGGAGAATAGATGCAGTTCTAATTCCTGCAAAGCAATGCACAGATGCAGCGCCACCTCGTGGTGCAAATGAGCTCTCTCCCCATAGGAGGAAGCCCCAGTAACATCTGCAGGCGCCTAATGGTGCCAAGAGCTTTTAAAAAGAAAAAGCAGTGTGTTCCCGCAGGAGTTCTCAGTGCCGCAGCAGAACCCATCAAGCCCAGCCCAGTGAACTCTAGAAGAGCACATGTCTGGTCGCCAAGGGAGGGGGTACACTGCAGGGGCAGGGCCACTTGGGCTTCTCAGGGGAACAGTCTGAGCTGTCCTTGGAAGGAGGAAGGGGCGTCACCTACGCAAAGGAGCAAAGAAAAATGCTTTCTCAGCAGAGAGAGGAGCAGGTGGATGGCAGCCCAAGAGTCCCATCTGCAGGCCTCAGTGAAGCCTCGTTCACACTGGGGACGGAGGAGACACTTGTGCTCCCCTTAATGTCTGTGTCTGGCCACTGCAGCTCTGACAGGAGAGCTGCTTTATAGGTCTCAGTTCTGTGAAAAGCAAGAAGCCAGAGATAGGAACCTAAGGGCTCCAAGTGGAAAGCCATTGAGGGTTCGGGGGCTGCCGTGAGGCTGAGTGTCCTCAGCAGTGGCTAAGGTGGCTTAGGACCATCCCTTCCCCGCAGCCCTTTGTTGGGAGAAGGGACTCCTGAATGTCAGCTGCTTGGGCCCAGTGTCTGCAGGTGGCCCCTTTTGTGCTGTCAGCTGACTTGGTGCTGCCACATATCTGTGAGCATTACATCACCTGCCCAGACCTTCCTTCTGCAGGGTCCCTGTCACTCCCTGGGTTGTTGTCATGGCATGTGTCACCACTGGCTTGAGGTTGATGTGCCTGTGCCCGTGTCCAGCTGTACCGTGGAGCACAGCCCCCCTTCCCCATGGCTGCCGAGAGACGGGAGGCCGTGGCAGGTGTATTAGCTTCAGAGCTGTGGACTCAGGACAGCCTTTGTGACAGGCCCTCACCACTTCCCCCACCTATGTCTCCTCCTTCCTCCAGTGCACCAAGTGCCTCAGGACCTCCTGGGGATGCACCTTGCTGAACTTGGGCCACTGCAGGTCTCAGCTGAGCCTCAGGCCCACATATCTCCCTGGCTCAGCCCAGTCCGCCTCAGACACCTGGCTGGGCCCCACAGCTTCCTGCTGTGGGCCTCATTCTCCTTCTACCCAGTGACCCAAGGGCAAGAACTGTGCTGCGTAGAGTAGGACGAGTGACATAGGAGAAGGAGCAGCACAAGGACATACCGTGGACATGTCCACAAGGCTCGGCGTGCACAGGGACGGGGCGAGCCTCGCCTCTCTCCTTGCTCTGCTCACCTCTGCCCTCCGCAGCCTCCTCTCTTCCTCAGCCTCCCTATTCCTCCCGTGGCTCTTCTGTTTCTGCCAACCCGTGGCTGCTCCCCTCTTGGCTTTCCATGGCTCCATCATGTCCCATGGTGTCCTTCCTCCTCAGCTCCACTGCTGACTGGCAGGCTTCCTCATCACGCTCCTAAGTAAAGAGAGAATCTACCTGTCCTTTTTCCCACTAACCACTCAGACCTCAGATGTGCCATAGGCTCACTGCCCTTGGGGAGGTGGTCACCCTTGGTCCAGTCAGCAGGCAGAGCCATCCTATCCAAAATACAGACTCTGCCGGGCACAGTGGCTCACTCCTGTAATCCCAGAGGCTTGGGAGGCTGAGCCAGGAGGATCACAAGTTCAAAGCCAGCCTCAGCAGCTTAGCAAGGCCCTAAGCAACTCAGGGAGACCCTGTCTTAAAATACCATGGAGATGACTTAGGCAAGGTCCCTGTCCTTACAGAGCTAAAATAATTACTCAGTGAGCATCGCTTTCCTGTTAGATCACAAACCCATAAAGGTAGTGCCTCTGCCTGTCCTCTGATTAGCTCCGCCACACACTAGCACAGTGTCCAGTACACAGTGTGAAAACAGTAGACATTAGTTGAATCAAAAAATTGTAACAGCTAGGGCCTCGGTTGTGGCTCAGTGACAGTGCGCTTGCCTAGCATGCATGAGGCACTGGGTTCGATCCCTGGCACCACATAAAAATAAAAACAAATAGAATAAAGGTGTCCATCTACAACTAAAAAGAAAAAACTTTAAAAAAAATTATAACAGCCAATACTTGCTGTTTGCTCTGCTGAATGTGATTTTGGGTACTTTATGTGTTTTAACAACCTCATGTGGATGTTACTACCTTAGACCCCTTTGCACTGTAACTTGGCCAAGGACCTACAGCGCACACCTGCCATTCATACCAAGATGACACCAGGGTCTTTCCACCGCTGTGTTCTGCTACATGAGAGGGATGGAGATGGAGGGAGGGACAGATGGGCTGAAGGAGGGATTGGGGGAGCCATCAAATGTGGTCAGCCATCTGCATCAGGTTTTGACCCCAACACCACATACAAAACCTGGAACATGGCAAACGTGCAATAAGTATTTAGTAAATAAATAAGTAGATAAATGAAAACCTGTATTTGCTGTGGCCTTAGATCATTATCTTTCCAACTGGTGTCTCTGATACATGTGTCCCATTTGGCTGAATAGAAAATCCAAGGGAGGTCCCAAGCAGCTAGCTCCTCACCCCAACATCATCCGGGTTGTCCGCGCCTTCACCTCCTCTGTGCCGCTGCTGCCGGGGGCCCTGACCGACTACCCTGACGTGCTGCCCCCTTGTCTGCACCCTGAAGGCCTGGGCCATGGACGCACGCTGTTCCTCGTTATGAAGAAGTAAGTGGCAAAAAAAGGGGGGCTGGGGTTGTGGCTCAGTGGCAGAGCATTTGCCTAGCATGTGTGAGGCACTGGGTTAGATTCTCAGCGCTGCATATAAATAGATAAAATAAAGGTCCATTGATGACCAAAAAATATTTAAAAAAAAAAAAAGAAGTAGTAAGTGGCAGGACCCAGGAGCTATCTGTCTTCACAATGGGAGTTGGTCCCTGCCCTCGGAGGCTTTCCCTGGGGCTTCAGGATTAGGGTTAGTGTTAGGGTTAGGGTTAGCATAAGTGGCGCAGAGAGTGCATGGACCTGGCTTTAGGATGATTTCTCTTGAAAAAAAAATGTCACCTTCAGAGCACTGTTCACTGGTGCTCCTGGCGCTTCTCTGTGGTTCACCTGGCCCTGAAACAGTAGTTCCTCCTCCCCCTCAGCCGAAGGAACTATCTCACCAATACTGTGAACATGTGGAGCCACAGCCCTTCCTAATGTCAGCACAGTGGGTGGGTGGGGATCGCAAGAATATGTGAGAAAAAGGAAATAAAAAGCCCTCGGGAGGGGAGGAGGAGAGGCCTGATCCTAACTGACCTAGGTGCTGGGGGCCATGCTGTGTGACGGCCACAGGTTCTGTCACCTCCCACCAGCTACCCCTGTACCCTGCGCGAGTACCTGCGTGTGAACACTCCCAGTCCCCGCCTGGCCACCATGATGACCCTGCAGTTACTGGAAGGCGTGGACCATTTGGTCCAGCAGCGCATCGCACACAGAGACCTCAAGTCGGACAACATTCTGGTGGAGCTGGACGCAGGTAGGCTCTGGCCTGCCCTCAGGTGCTGCGGGGAGCTGGGGCATTAGGACCCTCAGGGTCCATTTTGATTCTTAGGCTCTGTCCTAAGTCATCTTATCCTCACTTTGCTCCATTCACACGAGACAAGCAGCCCCTCCTCCAGAGGCAGGCTCTCTGTAACAGCTCCCAAGTCCCTCCCAATTGCCCACTTCTGGAACAAGAACCTAGTGCTGCATTTATTATTTATTGTATTTTTTATAATAAAAAACTTTATTTGAATTTTTCTTGAATAAAGTAGAAGAAAGATGATCTTTGGCTCAATAAAACAAAGAAAACAAAAAACAGTTTTCAAATAGCAAGAGTTGTCCAAGTGCCAGCCCAACTGCCCCTGGAAGCAATGAGCTTCCAATCCCAGAAGCATTCAGGCAGAAGCAACGTGCCCAGGATGCTGCAAAGGAGATTCACACATCTGATAAATTCTTGAAATGGAAGATTTAAAAGAATTAAATGTGCAATTAAAAGACTAAAAAAACCTAGCTTTTTAAAGAAATCATTTGAATTCTTTTTACAAATAACCAATTCCTAATGCACCTGTTTTTTAGATTTATTAGGGTTTCAAATTCAGATGCAAGACTCCTGGGGTAGAAGTGTCCTTAGGGATCATTGGAGCCAAGCCAGCTCCCCTGGTCTTGGGACAACCCCAATTACCAGAAAATCAATCATTAGACAGTTACTTAGATGGAGGCCAACTTTTATCTAGTCCTTTGCCTGGGGACTCTGTGGGCCTTTTCTCCTTACAGGCACCTCCACGTCCCTGGTGTGGCTCTCCTATTCTGCTCTGGGTGAGCCAGCTCCATCCAGGCCTTGCTGGTCTGCACTCCTGGGCCAGTACAGTCCCTGTTAGCTCACTGACCCATGTCTTGGTGGCTCTCATAGGGACCTGGGAGGGTCTGAGAGGGAAGAAGGGTGAGAAGGGGTGGCTTACCTCTGCCTGCTCCTTCACAGACGGCTGCCCCTGGTTGGTGATCTCTGATTTTGGCTGCTGCCTGGCTGATGAGCGTGTGGGCCTGCAGTTGCCTTTCACCAGCTGGTACGTGGACCTGGGCGGGAACGGCTGCCTCAGGGCTCCGGAGGTGAGTCTCACCATTAGCATCCTCCATCAGAAGTGCTTCACCACGTTCTCTGTAAGTGACAGAAGAGACCCCAGTTTCCCTCCTTGTCACGGTGCTTTAACCTGGGTCTCCCTGCTGTTCCCAGTGTCTGTTTTGCCAGCATCCAGTCGGCAGCCTCAGCAGATCCTTCTAGGTCTAAGCCAAAAGTCCTTTGATCCTGGGCTCCTTGAGAGTTCAGATTAGCCCCAGGCTTGGGTGACAACACAGGAGCATGAACAGGTAGACCTGCCAGTGGCATGACCTCTCATCCTCCACTTCCCGAGCAGGTGTCCACAGCCTGTCCTGGCCCCAGAGCAGTGATTGACTACAGCAAGGCCGACGCCTGGGCGGTGGGAGCCATCGCCTATGAAATCTTCGGGCTTGCCAATCCCTTTTACGGCCAGGGCAGGGCCCACCTTGAAAGCCGCAGTTACCAAGAGGCTCAACTACCAGCACTGCCCGAGTCGGTGCCTCTGGACACCAGGCAGCTGGTGAGGGCATTGCTCCAGCGAGAGACCAGCAAGGTGAGGCTGTCCCCCGGCTCTCAGGGTGACTCTGTGGATCTCAGTTCACACTCTAGAGCAAACTCAGACTTGGACAAATGCTAAGGCGCCAGGCAGCGCCTCTGTACTGCACAGGTAAAGGCCAAGTCCAGAACACAGATCGATTTTGAATGAACAGAAGCAAGGGAGCTGGCTACCAGATCTAGTCAGAATTCCAGCAGTTCAACTCTTCTTGGCTTTTTAATTCTGTTTTACTTTTTGCTGTGCCGATATTCAAAATGGGATCTCACACATGTCGGACGAGTGTGCCCCCACTGAGCTGCATCCCCAGCCCTTCTGGGCTTTTTAGTTTCTTAGCTACTCAGAGGGAAGAGGATGCATTTTTGAGAAATGGTTAATGGAGACGTAACCTATGCAAATAGCTGAGATCTAATCAGACAGATGTGAGAATACAACTCCAAAGCGGATCTGGAAGTTACTGTAAAGAGACACAAAGGCCAGTGTATTCGAAGCCATACTGGAGCAGCAGGTGCACTCCTTAGTGGAAGGAGCTGAGGCAGCCTCAGCCACTGTCGCACCTCTTCCTACTGACCTCTTGCTGCACAGGGCCTGCTGTCTTGGTCACAGCAGGTGCTCAGTGAAAGCCTGTTAGACTAGTGCCCGAACCCAGTTATCAAGTGATGAGGGACTGCATACCCCAGCCTGGTACAAGGGACCAGACAGAGCCATACCCACTGGCCTTCCGTGCCCGAAGGCCATCCCAACGCTGCACGGGCGGCCATTCGCAGCTATATATTTGCAAAGGCCTGGAGCCTGGGCAGAGCTGCCAGTATGTGTCAGCAGAGGGAAGGGTCTCAGGAAGAGGCAGGGCAGAGGGAGACTTGGATTGGGGCCAGAGAAGGGACACTAACAAAGTAGGTGTGGGCCGAGTGCCTGTTCCTGCTGTCCTGAGCCTCAGCTTCCCTTCCTGTTGCAGAGACCATCTGCCCGAGTAGCTGCAAACGTGCTTCATCTGAGCCTCTGGGGCGAGCACATCCTAGCCCTGAAGAATCTGAAATTAGACAAGATGATTAGCTGGCTCCTCCACCAATCAGCTGCCGCCCTGTTGGCCAACAGGCTGGAGGAGAAGAGCTGCGTGGAAACAAAGCTGAAGGTGCTGTTCCTGGCCAACCTGGAGTGTGACGCGCTCTGCCAGGCCGCCCTCCTCCTCTATTCCTGGCGGGTAACCCCCTGATGGCTCTGCGCCAGCTGGTGTGTTAGTAAAGGACTCAGTGGCATCTGTGTGGTGGCAGTGTATAGTGTCAAAGGAGAGTGGGGGTCAGAGGACAAGCTGGCGCAGGGGGGCTGGTAAGCCAGGGAAGGCCTTGGGTTTGGCAGGAACTACTTGAGTCAAAGTTCAGTTTGCGGCCACTACCTCCAGCCATGTGGGTTTGGATGAAGCTTATGCCCTCTGCCAACTTGGCTTCTCCTAGCTGTAAAATCAAGACGTTGGTCTCTATCAGAAACACCCTCTGTAGAGGGCCAGCTAGTGAATTAAGCTGTTGCAACTAATCAACTCAGTGATGCACGAAAGCAGCATAACAACCAAATGGGACTGTTCTGTTAGGGCTTTATTTATGGACACTGGAATTTGATTTTCATGTATCACCAGCTTGGCCCACAGGCCAGTTGCCAGGCCTGGTCTGGTGAACTCATAGGGCTCACTCTACAAAGCATGTTTCCCGACAGCGAGGTCCCTCTGTATCGGTGATAAAGACGATGTGAGATTCCCTGCATGAATCCAAGGGACCGCAGTGTCACCCAGGTGAGAAGTCATACTCTGTCGTTATTCACCAAGAAGTCCAACCTTAGGGCCCTTTTCTGGCCTCGCAGACCTCTCAAAGTGATGGCCCAGCGGGTCTGTTGGAGGATTCTGGGCTGAGGGAGATCAGACCTGTGCTCGGCAGCATGGAGGATCCAGGCCAAGGCAGTGGCAGAATTTGTGACATTTGCCCTTAGTGCTGAGGATGGACTGTGGTTCTTCTGGAGGGGGGCCTGGCACCAGTTGGTATGTGCCACCTGGGCTGAGGCAGACATCTGCATGGTCAGTATATTCAGGGGTCAGCACAAAAAAACATGAAAGTGAGGCCTGGGCTGTGGGTGCCCCTTCTGGACCAGCTCTGGAGGGCACAGAGAAAGCCTTTCCGGTGTTCCTCTAGCTACTGAGTTAATCTAACATTGCAAAGATCACTGATGAAATGGAAATTAACAGTGTGGCATCTTAAACTTGTTGATTTCCCTTTTGACTAGCATTTCTGAGATATTAAATACAAATTTACAATGCAGAGTATGTACGTGCTGAACTCAATATTTCGCTTTCTGAATGAGTCTTACAACCTGATGGGAAAATTCTGTGGACACATAACATTGGGGAAGAGATTCCACATTTAACTGCACACGCTTTTTGTGTGTGGTACTAGGGACTGAACCCGGGGCATGCTACCACTGAGCTGGGGAGCCTCCTGCCTCGACCTCCTGAGTCACTGCAATTACGGATGTGTGCTGCTGCACCCGCTTAGACACATGCTTTTAAAGTTATGGCCTTCAGCGAGGTGAATATATGTTTAAGGTTCTTTTCAACCAAGGAACTAATTTTTTTAGTCCAGCATCTGTATTAACAACTTTATTTTACCGTTTGAGGAGAAGTTAGGATCATTTCCTAGTTGAGTCTTGGCAAAACTAAAAGGAGCCACTTATTAGTGGGCATCTAAGGATGCCCGAGAGCAAAGCAGGCTGGGGCAGGGAAGTGTGGGGGCAACAGTTCTCTTTATTTTAGAAATGGGAGTGACTGCACATATGAAAAACACCACAATTCAAGGTGGAAAAAATGCATAAAAAATGATTCCCTGGCCCCTCCCCCTGGTACTCAACGCTGCATCCCCGAGGTAAGGCTGTGCCGTTTCCCACGGCTTCAGAACAAAACAAACAAAACGAGATCACCAACCCGCCCTGGTAAAAACCCTCCGCTCTCCGCTGCAGAGTCCCGGGCTCTGGCCCCTCAGTCAGACTTCTCCTTCTCCTTCATGTGTAAGAAGACGATGCTGAAGATGAAGAGCCCCGCCATCATGGAGAAGGCACTAGCATAGTAAGGATAGGCCGAGGGGATGAATCGCTCATACTGGGTGTGCTGGAGTGGCCTCACTGACACCTGCAACAGGACAGAGATGGCAGTCCCTGGCCACTGGAGGCCTAGGCAGGGAACTGCTGGCTGAAGACAGGGACTGCCCGCTGTGCATACCTGAGTGGAAGAGTACAGGTGAGTGTAGCCCAGTCGGTTGTAATCCACTTTAAACTGGAACACACCGTACACGTCGGGCAACTTAAACTGGACGCTGTATTTGCCACCTGGGGAAGAAGCGACACCAGGGGTTTCCTGGAGTGTTTCTCTGCCAGGCCTCATGGAGGCTAGCACAGGTGTGGGCTGCCCCCTGCAGCCTTCTCTGGCAGGAACTGCCTACCTTTCCTCTTCAAGAAGGTCCTCACGAAAGGATCTATGCGAACAAACTCCAGCTGAATGTCGTCACCATCAAAAGGGACCCACCTGCCATTGGAGAGCTGCTCAATCACGATGCTGTACTCCTGAGAGGAAAGGCTGGGTCAGCCGGGGCTGCCAGGGGCTGCAGGGTGCCACACCTGCAGGCAGTGCTGCCTGTGACTCCTGCCCTCCCACCACAGCAGGGAGCTCCCGAGTCCTGCAGCCCGTGGGAGTCCCTCCACTGTCCTGCGCTCCTCAGCAGAGCCAGTGCCTCGCAGCACCTCTGCCTGCCCAAGGTGCTCGGCACAGAATCCCTGGCCATGGACATCAACCATCCATGGAGGCCCTTTCCATTCCCAGATGCGCAGGCTCTGTCACTGTCCTCATGCCTTGCTTTGCTTCTCTTGCCTGACAAACTCATCCTAAAAGCCAACCGAAATGCCATTTCCTTATAAACCTGACTTCCCGGGCAGTGAAGTGGCGCGGCCCCCTCCCATGGTGACACACAATCTTCAAAACGAGGCCTTCTGCTAGACATGGGTTAGTGCAGGCTCCACACCTAGACTGACAACCTTAGGGACAGAGGTGAATGTCTTCATCCTACTTTATGCCCCCGAGCCCAGGCACCAAAATGACCCACAAATGCTTCTGAGTCAAAGTGACTCAATCTGGCCAAAACTTTGGGCCCGGACCCCCGCCCCCGCCAGCTCTTACCACTAAATCAGTGACTGTGTAGGCATTGGGTGGGGCTGTCTCGCCCACCCGATGATGGGACACAGGTCCTACACGGAGAACACCCTCCTCCTTGAACACCCAGCGGGACAGGGCCACAGCTAGCTCATAGTTGCCTGTCTGGGAGTACCTGCAAGAAGAAAAAGGAGAGGCTGGCGCCCGGGGCCAACTTCTTCCTGGTGGTGCCTGATGGGACAGGCTACCCTGGTCACCAAGAGAGCACACTAAGCAAGGCTCTGTGAGTAGGCCTCATGCTCTCAGGAGCCATGGTTAAAGAAAATCAGAAGAATGAAGAGATGCAGATGACCTGGGCATCACCTACACTGTAAATACACAAATCTCTAAAGGAATGCTGGTCTCTAAATAGCTCCCCACGACCGTGAGAGGTGTGGAGTGCCAACCTCAGCAATGTAAGCAACCAAGCCATCTTCAAAGAATTCAAAAGCCCCAGACGGCACACAGGTTTCTCCACACAAACAGCCTGCACCGCCCAGACCACGTGCGAGCGCCCCGGGGAGCCCCACCTCTGGGCACCAGGTGTGGCCTTCTGCACTGCAGAGTTGAAGAAGGCATCGCTGAAGAAGTCAAGGGAGCCGCTGAAGACGACCCGGGCGTTGTTCCTGGCCTGAAGCCCGGCAATCAGCAGGGTGTTCTTCCCCACCGCGTGGGGGTACTGGGAACAGATGGAGGTGGTCACCCACACACTGCCAAGGTGAAGCCAAAGCCACCAGAGCAAGAGGACAACAGGCTGGACACCTAAGTGGCTGTGTCCTCATCTGAGGGAGGAACCCAAGAGCACACCACTTCTGCCCACGTGCCCTTCCTTCCACCCTGTTCCCTCAGCAAGCATGACTCCGGCATCGTTTTTATTTTCCAATAAGAAAGTGTTTTGCCACCGGGCCTAAGAGGCGGAAGGTCAAGGTTGCAAAGGTCCTTACCTGGGTAATGGGTTTATCTGGGAAGAAGGAGTAAGAGGTAGACGAGCCCGTCAGGATGTCCAGGACCAAAGGATTGTCGGGATCCGCCACCATCCTGCAGAAGGAACGAAGAGCAGCCTGACACTGACCCAGGAATGAGCCCAAAGGACGAGGGATCGCCAGGGCCACTTCTTCCCAGGATGGATCCTTCTCTCTCAAAAGCCAAACACTTAGCTCTCCTCTCTCTACAATAAGAAATTAATCCCACCCACATCTGCTGGGGGAAGTAACACCCCCAAATAATCACAAATTTTGGTTTAGCTTCTCCAAAACCAAGTGACCCTTCCTTCCCCAGGTTTCTACAGGCCTCTTCCTGCTCACTCACCCAACTCCTCGAAAGAGGATGGGATTTAGAGACGATTTCCCAACAATGGTTGGGGCCTTCAGCAGGTTCTCAGTGTCAGCCACGATGAGCGTGTGCTACAGAGCAGAGGGAAAGAGAGGTGTCCAGAAAAGGTTCCTCGGGCCAGGGAGTCCCTCTAGCTCCCTCTTGTCTTTAGGCTGAGCAGAGCTTTGCCATCCATGCCAGAAGTCTAGAAGGCAGTGGGCCTGATTACCTGGCCGAGGTCTGAGACATCATAGTTGTGATGGTCGATGACAGCTGTTTTCTCCTCATCAAACTCGATCCCACACTCACTGCCCAGCTCTCGGAGAGGGTCACCTGCAAAGACCCAAGAGATGCCTGCCTAAGCCCTTACAGTGGGCTCAAGCCAAACAGGGTCATGGCTTCCCCATGACTCACTCATCACTGGTCAACACCAGTACCCCGCAGCTGCATCAGGTCAGCCTCTGCCTCCAGGGATCACACTCTGAACTGATGGAACAAAACCACCACCTGGTCTCCTTCCACAAACACACAATGACAAAAAACCCCTCTGAAGCCAAGCCTGACCTGAAGAACCTGGGTTGACCAGGTTTCTCCAGTCCTTGTCATGCCCCATTACAAGGAACATACTTTTAAAATGTGTCAGTACTCGGGAGGCTGAGGCAGGAGGATCAAAAGTCCCAAGCCAATCTCAGTAACTTATGAGAGCCTGTCTCAAAAAAAAAAAGGCTGGGGATATAGCTGAGTGGTAAAACGCCCTGGTACCAGCACCAAAAACAAAAAACATCGTCAGACTGCCCAGGAATGCTGAAGCTGGGTGATCAGCGCAGGGGACTAAGGATGCAACTCTCTCCCTACTTCTAGGCACCTCTGAAATTTTCCAAAATAGAAAACAAGGACTGAGTGTGTGGCTCAGTGGTAGAGCACTCGCCTAGCATGTGTGGGGCCCTGGGATCCATTCCCAGTACTGCAAAGAAGAAAAAGAAAACAAGGCAAAAATCAATTAGATGGGGGCTGGGGATGTGGCTCAAGTGGTAGCGCGCTCGTCTGGCATGCGTGCGGCCCGGGTTCGATCCTCAGCACCACATACCAACAAAGATGTTGTGTCTGCCAATAACTAAAAAAATAAATAAATATTAAAAAAAAAAAAAAAAATCAATTAGCTATCTGGGCCTTCTCTCTCTAAGGGACAGTCCCCAAAACAAAGCCAACAATGAAAAAAGCCCAGCCAGGGTTTCTACTCCTTCAAGCCCTGAATCTCACTGTCCGGTCACAGCAAAGCACAGGAGGGCCTGAGCACCCAGCAGCCTGCAGCCCCCTCACTGACTGCTGGCCAAGGCCCACCCAGAGAATGCCAACTTGACAGCTTCCATTTGTGAAGCTTTCCAAGCTCCCTGGAGAATGGAGGAAAGCACCAGAACTTCCCAGGTCCGACTTACCTATGTCTGAACTGGCAGCTACCAGGACACTGCCTCCCCCATCGATAAATGCACTGATGGTCTCCACATTGATGTTGCCTCCAAAATCTGAAAGAAGACATCAGACACAGTAACCAGGCTCTGCTCCCTGATACTCAGGGTAGGAGTGGGGGTCCCCTGTAGACCAGCCACAATCCATCAACATGGGACCCCCAGTGGGCCCAGAATGAAAGAGAGGGCTGCTGTGCCCCATCTGGAAAAGGAGCCCTCATTTCCCAAAAGTCAAGATTCAGTCAAGTCAAGTAACACCTCAGATTCATGAACTTTTAAAGGTTTAGAAGAAATAGTCAAACATCTACTAATGTTTGGGGACTAAGGATGTCAAGCGGGGCACCATATTTCAGGTCACATATAACTTTCACTTAGAAATACTGCCTTTCGGGCTGGGGTTGTGGCTCAGCGGTAGAGCGCTCGCCTCGCACGTGAGGGCTTTGGCAGTGGGAGCCACAGGAGGATTCTGAGAAGACCTATGTGACTTCACTTGTGCTTTCTCAGGATGGTCCTGGTGGCTGTGGAGACCAGGGGAAGGGAGTGAGGGTGGAAATGTGACAAGTTAGGAGGCCACCATGAAGTCCAGACTGTGATGAGTGCTTCCAGGCCACACAGAGGTAGTACAGCAGAGTGCAGGGTAGGGGTGGGGTCTTCCCATGGGCATGAACGTAAACCACAGGGGCCTTGAGGGGGTGCCTGTGGCTGCCACCCAAAGAGAGGGATTAAGGACAGTCCCAAGGAGCCCAAGCAACTGGAAGGATGAAAGTGCCAATTTACTAAGACCAGACATTGAAGTTTGTCTGTTAGACATCCACTAGGCATGGGGACAGGAAGGAGTCCATGAAAGGCCTCTGTGAAGGTCTGCATGGAACAGCCCCCTTTTCTGACTCTGAAAAAATTAAAAAGCACCTCACCTTCAAGTATAAAGAGTACTCTGTTCTTGGGGATGCTGCCTCTTATCACAGGTATAAAGCCATCTAGCCACTCTCCTGTGGAGGAGCCACTCTCCTACAAAGGCCAGAAGAGCCCCAGACAATTCCAAAACAGCTTCTTGAAAGAGGCTTTCAACCTGGGGTGACCGTACCCCTCAGAGCACTGTCTAGAAGGCATTTGTGATTATCACAATAGCAGTGAAGTAGCTGCTGACCTCTAGTGGGTAGAGGCCTGGGACACACTGAACACCTGCTTTGAAACTGAGGCAGCCTGGGCTTAAACGAGGCAAATCCCTGCACCTTTCTGAACCCACCTCCCATCTACAGAGCAGGACCCAGTATTGCCGGCAGCCTGTGTCATTCCCCTGAGCCGCTACTGCACGTGACCTGGGAATCTCCTAATTCCATATCGGGCGGGAGCCACTGGTGCATGGACAAGGGAGCCAGCCCATGTTTGCAACCTGGCGGAGCTAATGTGGTTACTGACTGCAGAAGGACCCAAAGGAAGGCCAAACCCATACCTTGGACCCTAAGCAGTATGAGCCTTCTCCCTAAGAGTGCCTGAGAGGACTTCCTGCAGCAGCATCTGCTGGTGTGGGACCCACTCACCAGGATCAAAAAGCTGACAATAGTGATGTGTGGACAGTGCTTTAAATAATGCTCAATCTCACAGAGACAAAGTTACTGTCTTCCCATTTATTTTCCAAGCTTTTTCTTAAGTTTGATACCAGCATTAGAATTCCTCTATACTTGCTAATCTCCTTTCTGAGGAGAGAACCTGTAGCAGGCAACAATACACGGTAGAAGTTACCAGCACTGGTTCTAGTCTATCTATTCACAGTTAGCATCTACCTGACACTGGCTTTCCATTTGCACTGGTGATACCGGGTTCATTGTTGGTTTATTAGTACAGTGACATGGAATGTGGTAGAAAGCAGGAAGGAGATACGCAAGTGACTAACCCGAGAAATACTATCTGAGGCTGGTGGCATCTCTCCCACCTCCCTTTCCCGATGTTCTCCAATCCATCTCCCCACTGCTCCTTTCCTTCCCAGTCTCTCCAAAAGCACAACTTGACAGCTTTTTCACTCCACCTTAAATCCTGACACAAGGTTTGGTAATTCATTTCCAATCTTTATTTCCTCAAACACAGACTGAAAGAACTTCCCAAGGGCAGGCTCTATCCTTATTATCTCACTGCTGGACTATCCAACCACTGGACTGTGTATATTTCAAAGTCCCAAATACAGCAGAAACGCAGACAACCATCACTCTGCTGACAGATCCAGTCCAACTGCCCTCTCATTTGAAGATCTTAACTTGAAGAGTCCGGGTCACATCCACCCAACTACCCTTGCCTCCAAAAAGCCAGTTCCAATGGCATGTGCTGCAGGGCAATGGGGAGCAAGATAGTAAGTGACAGGCCTTTGGAGAAAAATACTTAAGGGATTTGGTAGAACCCAATCACATGTGAACTACAGAAAACAAAGTAACTGTCAACAAAGCATAGATGTCCTAAGCTTCATCAACTGAAGGGAGGGAGGGTTGCAGGGTACACGGTAGTGCAAACAGGGATAACATGAGTCCTTCAAGGAAAAGACCAAAGCAAATAAAGAAGGGAATCACTAGCATTCTCACCAAAACAAGCATGGCCAAAAAAACTGGGGATATTAGAAGAAATACCTAAGTAGGCTATGACCATGTGAAAACTGTTTTTCAGCAAGATAAGCACCAGATTTGTTTTCTAAGGCCCTGGGGAAAGCTAGGAACCTCCCTCCCCAAACACAGTAGAAAGAGACAAGTTGCAGTTTAATGTAACTTTGTAACAAAATTATACACTGATGGAGTGGATTGCCTCCTAAAATAGGAATAGTGAAGTATAAGGGGCCTGGGGGCCTGCTCCAGGAATAATTTAAAGAAGATATTCTATTAATAGAATAGTGAAGATATTCTATTAGATAATTTGAAGAAGATTCTGTTCAACAATTAGCCCTCTGCTAAGCCTCTGAACATATCCAGCTGCTATCAAATGGGTAGGAGCGGGTAATTGTTAAGGCTTTTTCTCAGCTGGAGGTTAAGGTCAAATACCAACCTTCACAATGCCTCTTTACACTAATCCATACTAATAACATGCCAATCCCTCTTTCCACACAGGCAGACTCCATCAGGCGCTCTTCATTCTATCAGACCCTTTGCAGAAAAAACTTCCTTCTCTGCAGAGGAGCAGGGCCCGAGTTCCACCGTCTATGGCAACACTTGACCCCACTACCCTTAACTGTGCCCAGGTTAGAAATTAGCATTTTCTCTTCTCTTGGCAGCAGCAGTGCCAGGGCTGGCAACCCATCCCCAGACCCTGAACCTGCCCAAGAATCAGAAGAAAGCAATGGATCAGTCCGGGGCCCTGAGTCCCGGCGACGCGCGACCCTTACCTTCTACCGAGGGGGAGAAGATGATGAGATTATCATAGAGGAACTCCCCGTACTTAATGAGGGACAGGCTGGGGTCATCGGCGGTCTTGAATGTGAGTTCAAAGCCCCGATCTGGACGAGGAAAAAAAAAAAAAGCAGCAGTCAACTACGGCAGTCAGGACGCAAAGGGAACCAACCCCCTGTGCAGATATCGCGAGCCACTCCAGGCGGCAGGCCGCACCTGGGCGCCTGCTCCAGAAAAGCGGGTGTCAGGGAGGATGGTGATGCCCTCAGGCTCGGGCGTCCTTCCCACCCGTGACCCTCACGCGCCGTCCCCTCGGACCCCGCTCTCAAACCTTTCAGGCTCCGGAAGAAAAGCGAGTGCGTCTCCCGCAAGTTGAGGTTATCCAGCAACACTAAAGTGCGGGGGCCGCTGGCGCAGACCGAGCCAAGCAAGGGTAGCAGCAGCCATAAGAGAGACCAAGCACGGGCCGCCGTGCACCGCTCCATTTTCTTCTTTCAGCCAAAGAACCCACACCTGGACACCGGAAAGGTCCCGTCTACAGCCGACCAATCGCGACTCGTGGCCGTGGAGTACCAACCGGAAGTGATCTAGATACTCCCGGCCGGGCGTCAACAGCTGCGACTTTGATGGTAAGAAGCCGGGAGCATTTCCGGAAGTGCCCTAGTCGGAGGCGGACCCCTCACATGCTATTGGTAGAAGGGACTTGAGGCCCCGCCTCCCAAGAGGAAAAGGTTCAATACTGAAGAGACAGCTCTACAGCCGCCACCAATCAAGGCCGAACGCCCTTTGGCTCCGCTCAGTCCGGCTCCTCCGCTAGTCCAGAGCCGGGTTCTGACGCAGTCTGGTCCCTTTCGAAGGGATATTGTCCCGGACGGGGCGTGGGGCACTTGGCCACTTCCTTGGTCCTCACCAGTCTAGGGCAGACCGGGAGGCCCATCTCCCAAACCTCTAGAAGGAGAGGCTAGAGAGCAGGGACGGGTTAAGGAGGGATAAGGTCGAGGTCAGGGGCACTGCGAGCTCCTGCCTGCCCATCTCCGCCCCAGGGGAGGAAAAAATAAAATAAACCCCGTAGCTTCATTTGCTTTTCATAGATGGATACAATGTTTACTTTTATGTGGTGCTGAGGATCGAACCCAGTACCTCACGCGAGCAAGGCAAGTGCTCCACCACTGAGCCACAACCCCAGCCCCTTTTCATTGACTTTTAAGGTCACAGCCACAGGGCAGTACATTATTAGCACACACACACACACACACCCACTAGCTTTTGTCTAGGTCACTCTTCAGGAACCCGAAGGCCACTTTTGCTGAAAACACTGAGTCTCCACTTGGGCCCGTAGATGTCCCATGGATGACTGGGATTGATTGGAATGGGATGAGGAGGCTTGTTTCTGTCTCCCTTGTTGCCTTAACCTTTGATTCAGATTCTTCTGGGTACTATATGTAGGCATGGTCATCATTTGATATGTTTTGCCCAGAGCTATATATAATACAGGGTTAACTTGACTAGACTTGCCTGGCATCCTCTCAAACCCAACCTTTTAAGTCTAAAGACACCTACCAGCCACCAGGACCAGAAACGCTCAAATTCTCTGAAAGAGCTCCACCTAGTCCCAGAAGACATGAACATTCCTTCCCTTTTAGCCTCTCCTCCCCCATGCATTTCCCTAGCAGACGCTCCTCTTCATTCCTTCTGGCTCTACCCCAAGTGGAGCCTCCTCCTGCCCTCCCTAGCCTACCCCTGCCACAGCTCAGGACACCTAAAGGTTTTTCCTTCACCTCGAGTCTGCACCTGACCTCATCGCTACAGCTTCATCTCTCTTGTCCCCGCTCAGGGCTGAATGTTGCCACTTGGTGCTTTTTGCTCACCAAACTTCTGCCACCAGGAGTACCCTCCCCATATACCCGTCTTGAACCTCCAGGACCTTCTGCCTTCCTTACAGGAGGGAGCCCCGCCCCACCCAACACTCTCCCTTCAGAAAGGCTCTTTGTTCCCCTTAAAGTCTCTGACCTGGTGGGTAGTGTAGTCAGAGGCTTGCCTCTGTGGCTACCTAAGCACCCCACCCCAGCTTCTCCAGAGTGAGCTCCTGGTCCTATTAATAGTTCCACAAAGGGGCCCTGGGTGACAGATTCTTTGAAATCTCTGACACTCTCCAAAGAAAAAAAAAATACTCTTTTGTGTTTGCAGGTGCAGGGAGCCTGCTGGTTTTAAAATCTCGGGCCAGTGAGTGCCCATTCCGGACAGCTGCCATGGCCGCAGAGATGCAGGGCCCAGGGATGTAGTCAGAGAGGGTCAGGGAGGGGATTTATTCTAAAAGGCAGTTTATTGGGCAGCCTAATATGAAGCAGCCTTCTCAGCCCAGTGGAACCGCCCTCCAGACCTCTTCCTGTGCCCCTCCTGCAGGGCAAGGCTTCCCTCTGGAAAGGGGGCAAATCACATGGAGGCACAAATTTCAGTCACCAAGATGTCGCGCATCATCCAAATGCTGGGGCTGGTGATGAAGGTGCCAAGGCAGGTCCGAAGCTTCTGAGGCCATCGAGGCAAAGGACAACACTGGTAGGCCCAAGTTGCCGGCTCCAAGGTGGGAGGGTGGGTAGGAACACTGATGCGGTGCACGGAGCCGGGGCAGGCCTCTCCGAGGAGGACGAGGAGGAGGACCGCAGTCTCCGAGGCAGTCTCTGACGGCCAAGCCCCAAGCCCCAAGCCCCAGGCTTAGTGACTGAGGGCCTCACTGTGGGGGGAGATGGGAGGAGGCCTGGGCGGGGCCGCCCAGCAGTTTCTTGGAGCCTAAAGGCAGGTGGTAGAGGGCAGCCGCCATCACAGAGGCTCACTGCCAAAGTTGCTTTTGCTTTTCTTCCGCCTAGCTTTGGTGAAGGGGATGTCGAGGGACTCGAGGCGGAAGGGCCGGGGCTGGGGCATTTCAGGGGCCTGGGCAAGCGGGATGGCAGAGTTGTTGCTGAGCGGGGAGCCGAGGCCTGGTGGTGAGTTGTGATGAGCTGTGGAGAGAGGGCAGGGCTGGTGCGCACAGGCATGGAAAGAGCTCCTGGGGTGTGCAGGGTGGAGGACGGGTAGCCCTCCCCTCCCAGCAGCGGGACCATCTAAGGCTGCTCTAGTTGAGATCTCAGCATTACATCTGCATCCAAAGAATCTGGCTGGGGTTAGGGGTTCTAAAGCCTCAAACTGAGGCAGCCTGAGCTCTCGGGCCAGACAAGCCGGGGTTCAAAGCCCAGCCCCACGACTCCCTAGCTGTGCAACCTCAGGCAAGTCACTCCACCTCTCGGAGCCTCAGTTTTCTCCTCTGCAACGTGGAGGACTCCGCTGATGCTCATGTCCCTTCTTTCGGACTCCTGCCCTTACTCCTCAGTCCATTCAGTCTCTTACATAACCTCTGTATAGAACTAGGATTCATGCCGGGCGCAGTGGCGCACACCTGTAATGCCCTCTTGCCCTGCCAGCGCCCTTGTGGTGGTCCTTGAAGAGAGTCAATCCTCATTTGGGGAAAGTCGCCACACCGGCATGAGGAAGCTGGGGAGTAACCAGTTTATTGGGCAGCCTAAAAGGCCGTTTATTGGGCAGCCTAATGTGAAGCAGCCTTCTCAGACCCGACCCACAGCACCAAGCCAGGGCCCTCCTGTGTGGCAGGGGAGACACCAGCCACACACACAGTCTTCTCCCAAGCACCTACTATGTGCCAGGCCCTGGCTTGGTTATTTCCCCACCTCATCTCCTCTAATCCCACTCATTTTATTGCTAAAAAACACAAGGCTCATGGAGGGAGAGGTGTTTTGAACCCAGGTCCATCAACTCCAGAACTACCCCCCATGCCTCTCCTAGGTGTGGGGGAGGGGACACAGGTGCACAGGACACTCACTGAGGCTCTTCATGGGATCTGAACTGAGGATCTGGTTGGCCCGCTTGGGACGGAAGTAGTTACTGGCAATATGTTCACTGTCACTCCGACTGAGCATCAGCTTGTAGCGGTCTTCCTCCTGCTGAGATGTCAAATCCTCGTGGGTCAAGACCCCTCATCTGCACAGAGCTGATCTGGGCCCCTGCCTGGGGCTCAGCAGCCTCCAGAAGCCTGGTGAGTGGGGCTGGCCTGAGCCTCCCCCAGGCTGCACCACAGGGCTGGAGGGACCATGGCCCATGGCAGCACACCCTGCCACAGAACCTGGAGCCCCGGGAGCAACTCGGGCAGCTGGAGATCAGGCGGTCAGTCTCCAGCCAGGCCCACACCTGCCTTCCCTCCCTTGAGATGGGGAGTACCTTGTTCCCTCCTGCCAGCTCCAACAGGGGCAAGGGTGATACAGAGCCCAAACTCCACAGCACAAGAAATAGAGTACTCAGCCCGCAGCTACCCTTATGACCGCTGTGACTGGTATCTTGACCTCTCCGTCACCCAGAACAGACACTCCTCACTGCTGTCATAGACTGACTCTCTGTTCTGTCCCTCCCCAGGTTCCCAGTAGGGTGATCATCCACAGTGCCCTGTGCTACAGGGCCAGACACATGACCCACACTGGGCCAATCACAGAGCATCATTCTCCTGAACATAGTAATTGACCCAAGAACAGGCCCATAACCTGGGCAGAGCTAATGAGAACCTTTCCACCAGCTTCAGAGTGAGATTTTAAGGGACCAGGTCTCTCTTCCTTTTGGATCATAACAGTTTGCAGGCCATCTTTCCCATGCTGTGGAGAAAGCGTACCAAAAACAAGAGGTAAAGACATAAAACCCTCACAGTTTGGGCCCCTACATCCAGCCATGCCTGAAATTAGTCCACTTATATGAACCAATAAACTTCCTATTTTGTTTGTTGTTGTTAGTGGTGGTACTGGGGATTAAACCCAGGAGTGTTCTATCACTGAGCCACATCCCCAGCCTTCTTTGTTTTTATAAGACAGGTTCTTGCTAAGTTGCTGAGGTTGACCTTGGACTTGTGATCCTCCTGCCTTGGCCTCCCAGTCACTCGGATTATAGATATGCACCACCACACTGGCTGCTTGTGACTATTTGACATCTGTCTCTTGGAACTAGAAGTGCTTTCACATAACCTTTTTGTGGTTGCAGGTTAAGACTATTCATTTTTGAGAGAGATTCAAGGTGGCAGCTTAGAGGAAGGTTGCATGGCTTGGGATTCAAGCAGCAGGAACAGGCTCCTCAGTGAGACTGTGAACTCCTTCAGACAAGCATAGTTCGTCTCCCCAAACACCCTGACCTAGAGTGCTATGCAAAGTCTGTGGATGTGAACTGAACAGAAGTTTTTAGGATCTGCTTTGAGAACCCCAGATATCATTGATGACAGCTTCCACAAATGAGAGAGAACATTTGACCCTTGACTTCCTAAGTCTGGTTTATTTCATTTGGCATCACGTTCGCCAGCTCCATCCATCTGCCAGTAAATGACTCAGTTTCATTCTTCTTTTCATTCTTCTTTGTGGCTGGGTAAAACTCCATTGTATATAGACACTGTTTTTTGAAAAATTTTTTTAGTTGTAGATGGACACAATACCTTTCTTTATTTATTTTTTAATGTGCTTCTGAGGATCAAACCCAGTGCCTCACATATGTGAGGCAAGCGCTCTACCACTGAGCTACAACCCCAGCCCTATATACTCTTTTTTTATTTATTCATCTGTTGGATTGACATATAGTCTGATTCTATAACTTGGCTTCATTGTATAACTTGGCTATTATAAACTGCACTGCTCTGAAAAACTGATATGCACGAATCACTATTAGTTAGAAGGGAAAGCAATAGAATAAAGGGGATTGAGAGGGAGAGAGGAGGACAGGGGAGGTGCTAGGGGACAAAACTGACCAAATTATGCTATTTCCATGTGCAGTATACCATATGCATCCCACGGTTACGCATGATTATGATGCACTAACTTAACAAAAATACTGATGTTAGAAGGGATACCGGTAAAGTAGAAGAAGGGGACCAAGGTGAGGGGAAAGGGAGAGAGAGGGGAAGTACTGTGACCAACCTGTTATGTGCAAATACAAATATCACCCCCCTCTTTGGTACAATTATGATGCACCAACAAAAACATAGAAAGGCAGGGGGAAAAAAAAGCAACTTTGCCTTTTCCATGAAGTTAAGCCATCAAAGCAGCCAGTCTAGCTCCAGACCAGCACAAGAGGCCACCCTGAGCTGCTCAGGCAGAGGAGCCTGGCTGGACATACTGGAACTGTATGATCTGTGTGCGTTTCTGAAACGTTCATAATGACTTAAGGCAAGGGTAGCAAATGACAGCCAACGGGCAAATCTAGCCCATAGATAAAGTTTTATTAGAACACAGTATTCATTTATGTACCATCTATTTCTGGTTTTGTGCTAGGGCGATGGAGTTGAGGAGTTGTGACAGAGACCACATGGCCAACAAAGGCTAAAGCGTTTACTTTCAGATCCTTTTCAGAAAAGGACTGTGATTCCTGCTATATAAGGATCCACGTTACTATTGTGCTACAAAACATGGGAGCTATGAAATTAAATGACTTTAGAATCCCAACTACTGCTCGTGGGCACTCTGAGGACCATTTTGGCCCCAGTGACCAACTAGGGTCTAGGGAATGAGAAGGTGCCATTTGTCTTCTAGGGTTGAGGCTCAAGCCTCTGTTGCACACCAGTAGGACAGGCTACCCCCAGCTGTCTACCTTTCCTCTGGTCCTTTGGAGCATATGTGCCCCTGACTGAGGGCCAGAGGGGACTGAAGTCCAGGTGCCAATGAGTGACAGAAAAGATCCAGGCTCAGGCTGGGGTTGTGGCTCAGTGGTCTGGGGTTGTGGCTCAGTGGTGAAGCGCTTCCCTAGCATGTGTGAGGTACTGGGTTAGATTCTCAGCCGCATATCAATAAATAACATAAAGGTCCATTGACAACTTAAAAAAATTAAAGAAAAGAAAAGATCCATGCTCAGCCCTTGCTTCAATCCTTAGGCATGATGAAAGTAGCCCCCTTCCCAGTGGCAACGCTGGCCCCTTCGCTGTGGGAGCAGAGACCCCGTCCCACCCTGCCCGCTCCCATGGGCCTTACCATGTTTGGCTCCCCGTTGTCGGGTGCAGAGGTCTTGCGGGCTGACTTGTTCTGTTGCCCAGTTGGAACTGCTATGAGAAAACAAGAGCTGAAAAGCCGACGGTGGAAGGGAACAGGTGGGGTACTGTCCCAGAGGTGGGGTCAAGCCAGGCTTGGGCTAGAAACAAGCCATGTCCCAGCCCCACCTAAATGTCCTTGGGAGTGCTCAGAAGCCAGAAAAGCCACTCTCCCACTTCCAGGATGGTGGGTGGGTGGGGGAAGGGAGAGAAGTGGGGGAAGGGAGAGATTCAGCTGTTGCCCAGAGCTCATGGGAAATGGAGCCAGCTGGAGTTTTAACAGGAGGGTGCGGCCCTGAACCAACACTGGCCAGGGGGAGCTTGTGACTCCCCAGGTCTGTGCGTGGGGAGAGCCATAAAGATTTTGGCTGTGGAGATGTACAAGGCAGTGTTCCTCTGGTGAGCAAACTCCCGGAGGGTAACAGGTGCCCTGTTTTCCACACTTGGAATATTCCACAGTGTCTCCCTGGAACCCGTAAGATGACTCATACATGCTCAGGGCCTAGCTGCTATGGTAATGTCCTTGGTGAGGAGGCTCTGTGCTAGAGTCTTATCAGCCTCAACCTTGGTCTCAGACACTCAGCTTCTGGGGCTAAAGGAGCTCTCTCAGACAACACCATGTGTCACTGCGCCTACACCTGCCCACAGAACAGTAACTTTATACAATGAGCATACGTTCTAATGATGCCAACAGGGCTAATGTAACCTATGGATATCAATAAAGCTGGCAGCTCAGCGAGCAGCCCTTTTACTTCGCCCCTCCCCTGCTGGCTTCTCTGTCTCTCTTTGTGTTTTCTTTAGAGAGAGCGCCACAGCAAATCTGACTTTACTCCGAGACTCGAGACTCGAGACTCGTCCAAGGTGGATGGGTCCTTAAGATTATCTCACCCAACCCCTGTTTTGTCAAGAAGCCTAGAGAAGGTCAGCGAGTGATCTTCCTAAAGTCACACAGAAGGTCAGCGACCAAAGCAGAGGCTGAACCAGGCCCGAGCCCTGAACAGCTGGCTTCCCTCTGCGGTGCTGCAGCTCACTGCCAGGCTTTCAAGCTCGGGTAAGTCACTCACACCCTGTGAGACTGGTTTCCTTGCATGTGTGATAGGTGTCGTGACCATCACCCTTGGCAGGGCTGAAGTAGGGATGGAGTGGAACAATGATGACAATGGTAATGACACCAGGGACCACGCACTCCATGCCAGGCAGTACTTGAAGGCTTCCACATGTCTGAACATGTCATACCCTCTCAGCAACTCTAAGGAAGGTCCTATTATTCATCCCATGTCACAGATGAGGACATTGAGTCCCCAAGGGGTCACCCAAGGAATGGTGCAGCCAGAATTCCAACCTACATCATAGCCTCCAGAGCATGCCACCCTCCCAGGGGCCCGGCATGTGGGGTGCCCAGGGTCACGCGTCTGTTGCACCCAAAACCTGCAGGGAGAGGCCAGGCTCCCTTTCCCTCTGCACAGCGGCCAACTGTGAAGGAGGCAGGGAGGTCCATGGGGCAGCTGAGCTCCTGACCTACTGGAAGGCTGGTTTTGATGATGATGGGCTCTGGGATCTTCCAGAAGCCACTATCCTCATCCCAGCATGACTCGCGCCGAATCCTATCCAGGTTGCTGTAGTTGCAGTCCCTGCGGATCAGGGGCTGCACCTGTTCCAGAAGTTGCTGGAAGAGCATGGAGTCGCGCTCCTGCCGACGGATAGTGGCCAGATAATCGATCTTCTCCAGCTGGAATTCTGACTGCAGATCTTTGATTTCCACTTCTGCTGCCCGGAGCTGAAAGCCAAGGACGATGACAAGTAGTGAGCAGGGGAAGATGCCCCACCGCACAACGGGCCACCCTGTCCATGGCCTGCCAGCCGCCCTCATCACTGGTCACGGTCCACTCACCCTCTGCCTCTCGCCTTCACCACCGTCCAGCCAACTCCCCGTCCCCCCACCCTCCTCTGACACCCACTGATCTCTCCACCCATCCAATTACTCCCCTCCCACCTCTCCATCCAGCAGGTAATGAGCACCTAGTGTGTCCACAGGGTGCAGAAAGCTGACCCTCAATCCCGCTGCCAGCTTGGGCACTACTCCACATCCTACACTCATGACAGGGCCTTTTAGAAGTACCCATGTGCAACACGACCATCACCCAGGTCTATAGCTCTGTCACGGTGTGACAAACACTGCCCCTTAATTTGATGTATTCCAGATGGTTTGGTCTCATCCCCCACAACTGGCCCTTCCCTTCCCTCCTAAGCCCAGGTGACTGTAAGGCCAACTCTACCCTGTTTTGCCTTAGCCCCAAGACCCCTGATGCACTCTACTCCTCGAGGAGCAGGTACAGGTGATTCGCAAAGAACAACATTGTGCACACCAAGGAAAAGAAACTACAGTCCACATCCCTGAGGAACTTAGGTGCAAACATCCTTGACAAAATTTTAGCAAATCATATTCAACAACATGTTAAAAAGACTGTATATCATGACCAAATTGGTTTTCTTCCAGAGATGCTAGGATGGTATAACATGCAAATCAATAAATGTACTTCATCACATAGTAGAATTAAGGACAAAAAAAACACTTAGTCATCTCAATAGACGCAGAGAAAGCCTTTGACAAAATTCAGTAACTATTCATGATAAAAACACTGAAGAAACTGAGGGACAGAAGAAATCATAAAGGCTATGTATGAAAAACTCAAAGCCAATCTTAATAATAAATGGGGGAAAACTGAAAGCATTTCCTTTAAAATTTGGAATAAGACAAGGATGTCGACTCTCACCTCCTATTTAATATAGTACTTGAAATTCTAGCCAGAGCAATTAGCAAGAGAAGGAAGGAAAACAGGAAAGAGGGGCTGGGGCTGTAGCTCAGTGGCAGAGCGCTTGCCTAGCCTGTGTGAGGCCCTGGGTTCGATGCTCACCACCACATGTGAAACAAATAAAATAAAGGCATGCTGTCCATCTACAACAACAAAAAATACAAATTAAAAAACAGGAAAGAAGTCAAATTAACACTGTTTGCAGATTATATGATCCTAAAAGATCCAATAAGCCCCACCCAAATCCTGCTAGAGCTAATAAACAAATTTGATAAAGGAGCAGGTTACAAAATCACCACACAAAAATTAATAGCTTTCCTATATACCAACGATGAATCTGTTGAGAAAGAAACCAGAAAAAAAAAAGCCCATTCACGATATCCTTGAAAAACAAAATCAAAAACCTAGGAATGAATCTAACCAAGGAGGTGAAAGATTTCTACAATGAAAACTATAAAACACTGAAGAAAGAAATTGAAGCCCTCAGAAGAAAGACCTCCCTTGTCCATGGATAAGCAGAGTTAATATTGTTAAAATGACCTTACTATACCAAACGCAATATACAGATTCAATGGAACCCACATCAAAATGCCAATGACATTCTTCACAAAACTAGAAAAAAACAGTACTAAAATTCATTTGGAATAATAAAAGACCCAGAATAGTTAAAGCAATTCTAAGCCAAAAACATAATGCTGGAGGCATACCTGACTTCAAATTATACTACAGAGCTATAGTAACAAGAACTGCATGGTACTGAATAAAAACAGACACAGAGACCAATGGTACAGAATAGAAGACACAGACACAAACCCACATACAGTCATCTGATCCTAGATGAAGATGCCAAAAATATACATTGGAGAAAAGACAGCCTCTTTAACAAAAAGTGCTGGGAAAACTGGTATGTAGGAGGAGACTAGACCCTTCTCTCTCCTTCTCTCCCTTCCTTCCTCTCTCTTTGCAAGGGTTTGGAGGAGAATACCAGGAATTGAACTTAAGGCACTGAACCACATCCCTAGTCTTTTTTTTTTTTAATTTTTAATTTTTTTTTTTTTTTTTTTTAGTTTTAGGTGGACACAATATCTTTATTTTTTTTTTTTATTTTTACGTGGTGCTAAGAATCGAACCCAGTGCCTCATGCATGCTAGGTGAGTGCGCTACCACTTGAGCCACATCTCCAGCCCTCCTTTTTATTTTTATTTTGAGACAGAGTCTCACTAAGTTGCTGAGGCTTGGTTTGAACTTGTGATCCTCTTGCCTCAACCTCTTGAGTCTCTGGGATTATAGGTGTGCACCACCTCACCCTATGCAACTCCTGGAAGAAAATGTAGAGTCAATACTCCAGCATAGAGGCACAGGCAATGACCTTCTCAATAGGACCCCTAAAGCTCAGGACATAATGACAAGAGTTAATAAATGGGAAGTCATCAAATTAAAAAGCTTCTGCACTTCAAAGGGAACAATTAAGAATATGAAGAGAGAAACTCTTTGCTAGCTACTTTTCTGTCAGAGGATTAACATCTAAACTATATAAAGAAATCAAAAAAACTTTTACACCAAAAATATCAAATAACCCAATTAATCAATGGGCAAATGAATTAAACAGACACTTCTCAAAAGAAATACAAATGGCCAACAAATATACAAAAAAAAGGGGCTGGGGCTATAGCTCAGTAGTAGAGCGCCTGCCTCTCACATGTGAGGCCGTGGGTTCGATCCTCAGCACCATATAAAAATAAATAAATTTATTTTTTCCACCTACAAAAAAAATTTTTAAAAAAATGTTACTAGAGGGGCTGAGGTTGTAGCTCAGTAGTAGAGCACTTTCCTAGCACATTTGAGGCACTAGGTTTGATCCTCAGCACCACATAAAAATAAATAATAAAGATATTGTGTCCACCTGCAACTAAAAAAATTAAAAAAAAAAACAAATATACAAAAAATGTCCAACATCATTAGCAAATAGAGAAATGCAAATTAGTACTACACTGAGATTTCATCTCACTTTAGCAAGAATGGCAGTCATCAAGAAAACAAATAATATTAAATACTGAGAGGATGTGGAGAAAAAGGGACACTTTTATACTGTTGGTGGGATTGTAAATTAGTACAACCAATATGTAAATCAGTATGGAGGTTCCTCAAAAGAGTAGGCATGGTGGGACTGGGGTTGTGGCTCAGTGGTGGAGCGCTTGCCTTGCACGTGTGAGACCCTGGGTTCCACCCTCAGCACCACATAAAAATAAATAAATCAAATACAGGTATTGTGTCCAGCTACAACTAAAAAAATATTTAAAAAAAAAAGGCTAGGCATGGACCCACCATGTGACCCAGCTATCCCACTGCTCAGGATTTATCCTAAAGAATTAAACTCATCATACTACAGTGATCTGTGCACACCCATGTGTATAGCAGCACAATTCACAATAGCCAAACCATGGAACCAGCCTAAGTGTCCATCAGTGAATAGAGAAAATGTTGGAGTTTTACTCAGCCATCAAGAAAAATGAAACTACGTCATTTGCAGGAAAATGAGGGAACTAGAAAACATCATGTCAAATTACATAGGTGAGTGTGGTGGTACACGCCTGTGGGAGGCTGAGGCAGGAGGGTCTCGAGTTCAAAGCCAGCCTCAGCAACAGTGAGGTGCTAAGCAACTCAGACCCTCTCTCTAAATAAAATACAAAATAAGGCTGGGGGTATGGCTCAGTAGTTGAGGGTACTCCTGAGTTCAATCCCTGGTACCAAAACAAAAAACAAACAAAAAAACCCAGCATCATGTTAAGTAAAATAAGTCAAACTCAAAAGGTGAAGCACCCTATGTTTTCTCTCATATGTGGAAGCTAGAGAGGAAAAAGGAAAAGAAAGGCGGCAGGTGATCCCATGAAAAGCAAAGGGAGATCGGTAAAATGGAGGGAGGGGTACAGGGTGTGAGAGGAGGGGAGGGGGGATGTGCTGGGGAGGGATATTGGTCAAACTATATTGTTATATGGTGTGCATATACGAATATGTAACAATCCTACCATTACATACAACTATAATGCACCAACTATAAACCACCAAAGAGGTTTAAAAAAAGAACAGTGTCACAGACTGCTGGGAATTGTCATCTCCTAGTCAGCATGGAAGACACCTGGCAGGACACAGATAGCAGGGATTGTCACTGATTGATTTCTGCTTCCTAAGCTGAGTGGAACATACATGGTGCTCGTGGTCACCATCATCAAATCTTCTTGAACATCTACAATCATTCACAATGACTTCTTTGTTAGATGGGGCCTCACTATGTTGCCCAGGCTGGCCTTGACCTCCTGGGCTCAAACACTCCTCTTGCCTCAGCCTCCCAGGTAGTGGGGGGGATAAAGCTGTGTGCCACTCTGCCAGCCTTGATAATTTCTAAAACTGCTTTATTGAGATATAATCCACGTGTCAATCCATGTACTGTCCACAGTCCACAGTACAGTTCAAGCCCAGTGTCAGGACACATGCCTGTAGTCCCCACTACTCAGAAGGCTGAGATGGAGGATGAAGTTCAAGGCAACATGGTGAGATCCTCCTAAACGAATAAATGTAAGGTGTGCAATTCAGTGGTTCTGACGATTCCATGAAGTTGTTCAACCATCATTACAATCAATTTTAGAGCATTTCATCCCCTAAAAAGAAACCCCAGACCCAAGTGCAGTCATGCCCAAGTCCTCCCCACCTCCAGCCCTAAACAATCTTTCCTAGTCTTTCTGCCCACATAGGTTTGCCACTTCTGGACATTTCATACACAAGGAATCTCTTCTGTCTGGTTTCTTCTCTTAGCATAATGTTTTCAAAGGTCATCCATGTTACAGCCTCTATCAGTAGGTCATCCCTTTCTATCGCCAAATATATTCCATTATATGGCTGTACCACACTTTATGTTTCCCCAGACTTGTTTGTTTTTTCCCCTTTGGAGTTATGAATAATGCTGTTATAAAGATTAGTGTACAATTTTTTTTTTCAATCCTGGGAAGCAAGCCCAGGGCCTTATGAATGCAGGCACGTACTCTACCATTGGGCTACAGCCTCAGCTCAAGTATACAAACTTTTTGGTTTTCGTTTTTTAACTCAAGGGCAATTCACCACTGAGCTACATCCCCTAGCTCTTTCTATTTTTTATGAGACAAGGTCTTGCTAAGTTGTTGGGGCTGGTTTTGAACTTGCAATCCTCCTGCCTTAGTCTCCCGAGTTGCTAGATTACAGGTGTGCACCACTGAGCCAGCCAACTGTACAAGCTTTTAAGTGGACATATTTTCCTATCTCTTGAGCTAACTGCTGGGTCACATGGCACACCATACTTAACCATTGGGGGTTAACAATGTGTTTTCCACAGTAGCTGCACCATGCCTCCCACCCATCAGCAGGGTATGAGGCTTCCAATTTCTCCACATTCTTACCAACATTTGTTTTCCGTCTTCATTATCACAACTGTAACAGTTGTCAAGTGGTATCTCACTGTGGTTTTGACTGGCATTTTCCAAAGAGTTGATGATGCTGAACATCTTTTCATGTGCCTATTGGCTATTTGTGTGTCTTCTTTGGAGAAATATCCATTTGTATCTTTTTTCCCATCCTTAAATTGGGTTTTTGTTGTCTTTTTTTATGACTGGGTTGTAAAAAACACAGTACCTTACCAGATATATGGTTTGCAAATATTTTCTCTCATTCTGTAAACTGTCCTTTCTCTTCATTGACAGTGCCCTTTCAAGAACAAAGTTTTCTTTTCTTTTTCTTTTTTTGCACCAAGAATTGAACTCGGATGCTTAACCATGGAGCCACATCTCCAGCCCTTTCTTCCTGAGAGAGAGTCTCATGGAGTTGATCTGTAGATGGCTTTGAGTGCTGCCATTTTTCCAGGGGTAAGTCCTCCACTTCTTGAATATGACGCAGCTGTTTCTTTAGGTCTTAATTTCTTTCAATCTTTTAAAGTTTTCAGAATGTAAATTGGGCACTTCTTTTGTTAAATTTATTCCTATTTTATTATTTTTGATGTAAATTAAATTGTTCACTTTATTTGCAGATTGTTCATTGCAAGTATAAAGAAATACAGTCGATTTTGGTTTACTGACCTTGTATTCTACAACTCTGAGGAGCTCATTTACTGATTCTAATTAGTTTTTGTTGTTGTTGTTGCAGTCCTGGGGATTGAACCCAGGGGTGCTCTACCACTGAGCTACATCCCTGACCTTTTTATGTTTTGAGACAGGGTCTCACTAATTTCCCAAGCTAGCCTTGAACTTGCGATCCTCCTGCCTCAGCCTCCCAACTAGCTGGGATTATAAGTGTGTGCCAAGGTGCCCAGATGATTCCAATTTTTTAAGTGGATTCCTTCTATACATGAGATCATGTCATTTGCAGATACAGTTTTATCCCCTTCTCCAATCTGGATGCCTTTTCTTTCATTTTCTTGCCATTTGTCCCAGTTACACCCTCCAGCCCAGTATCCAATGGGAGTGCGGAAAACAAACCTCCTTTTCTTATTCCCTGACTTTAGGGCAAAACATTTGGTCATTTGCCATTAAAAAGATGGAACCTGGGGCTGGGGCTGTAGCTCAGGGGCAGCGCACTTGCCTACTAAGTGTGAGGCCCTGGGTTCAATCCTCAGCACCACATAAAAATAAATAAATAAAACAATTTTTAAAGAAAAGATGAAAGCTGGGATTTTTCATAAATGTCCTCTATCAGGTTGAAATGGTTCCCTTCTATTCCTAGTTTGCTTTATATTTTTATCATGACAAGTATTGAATTATATCAAATGTTTTCTTCAAATTTATCAAGATGATCTTGATCTGTGATGTTTGTCATTTATTCTTTTTTTTCCCCTTTCTCTCTCTCTCTCTCTCTTTTTTTTTTTTTTTAATATAGTGCTTGGGATTGAACCCATTATACCTTCGAGGCAAGTACATTTGTCCTTGATTCTATTGATATGAGGTATTACCTTAATTGATTTGAGGGATGCTAAACCAGCCTTGCATTCCTGGGATAAGTTCCTCTTCAATATGGTTTATAATCCGTTTTTTTTTTTTTTATCTTGTTGGAATTGGTTTTCTAGTATTTTGTGGGGCATATTATGTCTCTAGTCATAAGAAATATTCATCCATAGTATCCTGATATCTTAGTCTGGTTTTGGTATCAGGGTAATACTGGTCCTGCAGGATAAGTTGAGAAGTGTTCCCTTTTATTTCACAACAAATTTTAAAATATCTTTTTAAACCAAAAACCTTCATTTTGCAAATAATACTTAGTTATATGATACAATGGACTGGCATGGTGGTGCATGCTGGTAATCCCAGAAACTTGGGAGGCTGAGGTAAGAGGCTTTCAAGTTCAAGGGCAGCCTCAGCAACTTAGTGAGACTGTCTCAAAATCAAAAGTCAAAAGTTCTGGGGATGTAGCTCAGTGGTAGAATGTCCCTGGGTTCAATCCCTAATACTGCAAAAAAAAAAAAAAAAATATATATATATATATATATATATACACACACATATATATGGAGAGAGGGGAGAGGGAGGGAACAGACTCCATATAAGAAAGAAAAAAAGAAACTAGATATTTTAATAAAATTAACAAGGTATATCCAACATCTAAATGAAGACAGGGAAAACACTCCTGGAGGACACAAAACTTGGTTTGAACTAACAGGAAGCTAAGTCATGCTCCTGGACAGGAAAATCCCTCTTGTAAAGGGATCAATACTTCTAAGCTAATTTATAAACATGACGTGACCCTCCTCTAATATCCAACCTTTCCTTTCTATCTGAATTTGTTTTGGGCTGCCTGATTTTTTTTTATCAGTTCATCAAATGTTTATCAGACAGAAAACAGAAGAGTGAGCCCCTAAAGGAAGGAACCGAGCTGGCTGCCCCAAACCTTCACCTCCATCTTCAACAGTTCCCAACAGTCCAGAAAAATAAGACTCCAGAACTAGCAGAGAACAGACACATCCAAGCAAAGCTGCTGTAAGAATCCGAAATGAATAACAAAGTATTTTTGCTGAAGGAAATTCTCACAAGAACCAAACATGCAGATCAAAAATCTAACCCAGGGGGGCTGAGGTCATGGCTCAGTGGTAGAGCACTTGCCTAGCATGTGAGAAGCACAGGGTTCAATTCTCAGCACCACATATAGATAAATAAAGATCCATTGACAACTAAAAAAATATTAAAAAACAATCCCAGCAACAACAAATTGTGCTTATCAACAAAGGATAACTTTAAAAAAAAAAAATCTAACACAGGGGCTGGGTTGTGGCTCAGTGTTAGATGTTCGCCTAGCACGCGTGAGGCACTGGGTCTGATCCTCACTCAGTACCACATAAATATAAAATAAAGATATTATGTCCACCCAAAACTAAAAAATAAATATTTTTTTAAAAATGTAACACAGGGCTGGGGCGTGGCTCAGTACAGCGTGCTCCCTTGGCGTACAAGGTCCTGCGCTCCATCCCCAATGCCACAAAAGGGAAGACAGACAGATAACACCCAACTTGAGAAAAATTAGCTCAGCAAAGTCCACAGGTATGAAAGTTTCAAATACAAAACTGAAAAACTTAAAACAGAAGTAGACCCAAAAGAACCAAGAAGATGTAAAATGGGACTCTAACTGAACCTCAGGAAAGAAAGAGAAAAATAGGAAGACAGCCAAAGCAATATCAGGAACCACGAGGCTAAAGGAGGCGGGCTGCGGATACAACTGGTAGAGCACAAGGCCCTGGGTTCAATCCCCAGCACCACACACACACACACACACACACACACAAAAAGGTAAAGGAGAGAAACATCAGCTTCCCATGTGCAGGGGCTGGTAGGGGCTGCACTTGTAAGAAGGGAGTGGGAGTGTGACAGCCACGGGCAGCTGCACCCTCCCCACTGCCCTGGCCTTCCTTCCACTCTAGCACACACTGGCTTCCTGCCCCCTTCAGCTGGCTGGCACCTCCCTCTGCCCGCAGGACCCCACAAGCTTACTCCCTTGTCTTTCAGTCCCCTTCATGGGAACACTTCTGTCTCCCACTGTGACTACCTCGGATACATCTGGAGTTCTTCTGTCTTGGATGCTGGCACGTGGGGACACTCACTTTGTGCAAATGAAATTTGTCTCTGTGCACTTCACCTTCCATAAACCTGACCAAGTGTGGTGGTGCACACCTATAGTCTGCTACTCAGGAGGCTGAGGCAAGAGGATTGCAAGTTAGAGGCCAGCCATGACAGCTTGACAAGGCCCTAAAGACTTAGCAAGACTCTGTCTCAAAAATAAAGCATAAGGGCTGGGGTTGTGGCTCAGTGGTTGAACGCTTGCCTGGGTTCCAGCCTCAGCAGAACACAAAAATAAATAAATACATTAAATAAAGGTATTGTGTCCACCTACAACTAAGAATATTTAAAAATAAAACAAAACATTAAAAAAGAGGGCGGGGCTGAGGATGTATGTGGCTTAGTGGTTAAGCAACCCTGGGTTCAATCCCTGGTATAAAAAAAAAAAAAAAAAAGGGGGGGGGGGGGCTGAGGATGTAGCTGGTGGAAGGGCTCCCGGCCAGTCCTCAGCACTGCAAACACAAAGGGAAGGAAACAGCCAGAGGAGGCGCCTCCCTGGCACTCTCTTCATTCACAGCACTCCGGCTCGGGGCCTCTTGCTGATCCTCCCCGGGGGCGTTCCAGTTCCTGCACACTCTCTCACACTAGACAGGACAGCAGGGACATACCTGCACTGTGACTGCCGGCTGCCAGCATTAGAGCAGGGCATGGCACACAGCAGGTGCTTAATAAGGGCTTAATAAGTTCCTGTGCGCCCTGCGCATCCTGTGACCCCGGGCTGGGGGCGGGGTGCCGGCCGCCGCCTCACCTTCCTCTGCATCTTCTCCAGCAGCTTGCTCTTGGCCCTCACTTCCTCCTGGATGGAGTCGTAGACGTTGAGCAGCACCCAGTCCCCGCTGTCCTCGTCCGAGTTCTGCAGCGCCGCCACCAGCTGCTTTTTGCGCTCGTCCGCGTACCGCTTCCGCCGCTTGTGCTTCTCCTTCAGGTCCTTGTTCTTGGCCTGCTCCCCGCCCACCACCTGCTGCTCCAGCAACTGCAGGCTGCCAGCGCCGAGGAGAAAGCAAAATGGCAGAACCTGCCCATGAGGGAGCCTCTGCCGGGGGACAGCTCTGCCTGGGCCCACCTCACCGCGTCCTTCCCACAGCCCCAGGGCCCAGAGAGAGCACGGGGCGCACAGACGCTGGTTGCTCAGGCACCAGAGCTCCTTCCACGTCCACCTAACTTCAAGCCTGTGCACTTGGCCACAGGAGGGGCGAGAGTCTTCCCATGGTCTCAGAGGTACCCCAGGACCCCTGCCCTGATGCTGCCAGGCCCTTTAAGAGCAGAAATGTTGCCTGGCACAGCGGCGCAGCCTGCAATCCCAGCAACTCCGAAGGCTGAGGCAGGAGGATCACAAGTTCAAGACCTCCCTCAAAGCCCTAAGCAACATAGGGAGACCCTGTCTCAAAATGAAAAAATATATATATATAAACGTCTGGGAATGTGGCTCAGTGGTAGAGTGCCCCAGGCTCAATCTCTGGTGCCAAAAAAAAAAAAAAAAAAAGAAAAGGAAAAAGGACAAAGGTAAATAAACTAAGAAGCCCAGAGGGCTCTCCACTGTCTAAGCACCACAGAAACGTTTTAGGCCCTGCCTCCTTCCAAAGGAGTGTGTGTGTGAGTGTGTGTGTGTGTGTGTGTGTGTTAAGGAGGGGGAGAAAGAAACTCAGGGCAGCCAGGCCCTGGGGTGGCTGTGTCCTCTAGGCTCCCTGGCAGCAAGGCAGAAGGGGACCATGTCCAAGCCCCTCTTCTGCTAAAAGTCCTTCTGGGACCCCATGAGGATGAAGAACCCACCTAGGGACACCAGGGCCCCTCTTTCTTTCTCCTTACACACCCCAGGCTCACCCCAGCTTGTGGCTAGAGCTCCTCCCAGCAGTTTGCCAGCCCACTCCGCTGTAGACGCAGATCGTTACCCAGGGGCATGTGGCCGGCACACCCTGCTCAGGAGTCCCCCTCTGTGAAGCCTTCCCAGACCTTCAACTCCAAACCCCACTGTGAGAACAGCCACAAGGAAAGCGGGGGCCTCCTCTGGACGCTGCCTTGTTTACCCTCACCGGCTCCTCAAGCTGCGGGCGATGAGGTCACCCATTCTACAGATGAGAAGCCCGGGCCCAGGGAGGTTGAAAGTCTGCCTGAAGGGGCAGGGGGCAGCAGGGAGCCCAGGCAGTGGGGCTGTGGACCTGTTAGCTTCCCTCTGCCCGGATGCAGGCACAGGTCCAGAGCCTGGATGTCTAGCACCCCCGGAAGGGAGGTCCATGAAGACCCAGCAGCACCCTATTCTGGGTGCCTTTTGGTGCCCAGAGCTCAGATCCTGCTTGAAATGTGGTGCGGACATCAGGAGGAAGTTGAGCCTGGCCCACTGTCCTGGAGCTGGGCTAATAATGGGATCCCCATCAGCAGAAGTGAGTGGTGGGCTCAGGACAGTGACTTTGACAAAGCCATGAAATAACTGAAGAAAGCCCAGCTCTCCAGGAGGTCCCAGGGGCCCTGGGGTGGCTTGTTCCCAAGCATGTGAGTCCCACATCATGGAGGGCAGTGGAGGCCAGCCAGAGGAACTGGGGACTCAGCTAGGACCCAGAGAGAGCCAGGCTGGGGAGGCTGGGCCACCATGGCCCCTTTACTTCTCCCTAGGGCTGCTGCTCCCCAGCAGATGCCTGACCAGAACCTGGGGGCAGCCAACATAGCTCAGTGCGGAGGCCTGCCTGCCCAGCCAGCTGTGGCACCCCGACACCTTGACACCTGAGCCCAGTGGAGGGAGAGCAGGGCGCAGATCAGTGGACATGGGGAGAAGCTCTCGGGCACACCCCACCCACCCCAGACCAGCCACTGCTCCTTCCCGCCCTCCTGTGGGGTCCCCTGCCTGAGCAGCAGTGCTTACCGGGCCAGCACCTTCTGCTGATCCAGCAGCTCCTCAGTCAGCACAGCCACCTCCACACCCACGTTCTCCTTTCTCAAGCTCCCCACAGGATGCAGGGGCTGAGGCTGGGTCCCCTGGGCCGCCTCGGCCTCAGCCTCCATCCAAGAGCTAGGCTCTGCTGTGGACTCCATCTCATTTGTCACCTCTGTGACTAGATCCACTTCCTGAACACAGGGAGAAATCAAGACGGGGTTGGAAGGCCGCCCTAGAGGCAAGTTTGCAGGTTCCCAATAACCCCCCCCCCCCCCCCCCGCCAAGGTTTGGGACAGATCACCTCTGGCTCAGAGACACAGGCTGAGCATCCAAACATAAAACCCCAGAATGCTCCAAAAATCTAAAAATGTTTTGAGTTTAATAATGCTCAAAGTTTCAGATATCAGAACATTTTAGGTTTCGATTTTCAGATAAGGGATGTTCAACTGTTAAAGTTTATGGAAACATCCCCAAATCCGAAAAACTGCAAAATCTGAAACACTTCTGGTCCTAAGCATTTCTGATAGGGTAGGGGATACTCAACCTATACCCAGTTATAAAAATACTGTACCTAAATGAAATTTTACTGACACATCAGCACCCCCAAAACGGTTCCAGCTTTCTGTCTTACCCCCAACAATTCAGTCTCTACACGGCAACTAGGGCAATTTCTAAAAAATATAAACTGATCACAATGTCCCTTTCCTGATAGGAACCCTTCATGGCTTCCTGTCAAGTTAATTCACAGAAAAATCCAGTTTCCAACATGGCTGCTATATCCATAGCACTACCCCTACCCGTCATCCTGTCTACCCTTCAACCACCCCAGCACCATTTTGTATTGCTACGAAAGTCAAGGGCTTCCCAGTAACAGGACTTGGTACTTGTTGCTCTTCCTGGCCCCTCCCTTCATGCCTGGGTCCCCCCCTCAATGTTACCTCCTAACCAGGATTTCCAGTCACTCTACCACCTACTGAGCCAGCTGTATGCCAGCCTCACTCAGTGCTCAAGGGCACAGCCCACTGTCAGCATCCTCCATAAGAGTGGGTAAGGTAAAGGCTTCCTGGCACTCCCCCAGGGGCTCTGCTGTCTTAAGCAGAAGAGAAAGGGCAGGTTCAAACCAGGTTCCACGGCCCTGGAGGGGTTCCTGATGGTGCTCAGGGGCTACCAGCCCTGACCCAGTGCACACAGAGAAGCTGAGGAATTCTGAAAGTCTCATTTACATCAACCAAAAGCAGTGCTTCCTCTGATTTGGATGATAGTCCCTGTCTCATGCAAGAGGAGACCAAGGCCCAAGGAGGGAGGGGACAAGCCTGCGTTTCACAGAAAGCTGAATGGAGCCCAGCACGTCACGCAGAGGGCCAGGGAGATACTCACGGTGCTGAGTGGGAGGTCACTGTTTGACACCTCTGCTTCCGAACTGGTGTCACTGGGCTCTGGCAGTTCTGGTGGGGAGGGGTGCTCCAGGGAGAAAAGGGTGGGGGGAAGAGGGATGGTTTGGGCCAGAACCATCCTCTACTCCCCCACTGCCCCTGACCTCCGCTGCAGCTCCCCAGGGCTGCTCCCGCTCCCACAGCCGCCTCTGCCTGTCTGCGGAGAGAAGGGCCCAAGGGGTAGAGAGAAGAGCAGGGAAGACAGGGCCTGTGCCCTCCATGATCTCATGCCAAACACCCAGCACCCCATTTTCTAGAGGAGGAATCTGAGGTCTGGAGAGGCAAAGGTCCTGGGTCACATAACTGAGGGAGTGTGGGCCTGGGATTTCGAGGACCTGAGCTCATTCCCTCTCTCTCTCTCTCTCTCTCTCTTAGGAAAGGGGAGCAGAGACTCAGCAGGAGTGAAGAAGAACATTTTTTCAAAACATAAAAAGGAGGGTTGAGGAGGGAAAGGACCACGACAGAGGATCAGGAAGGGGAGAGCAGGATCCAAGCCCCAGGGGCCGACACTCCCCCATCCAGCGTGCTGCCCTGAGCCTGCGAGCACATGAGGGTGGACCAGGCCACCTGGTCTCTCAGGCCCACCCTCAGCAGGGTCCCTGGGCAGGTGCCCTCCTCACCAGACAGGCATCTATCTGGATAACCTGCACCTCCGTCCCAACCTTCCAACTGGCCTGTGGACCCTGGTGCCCCCGGCCAGCCACGGATGCTGGAGGCCCAGCAGAGGCACTGCCACAGCAGCAGGTCAGCCAGGGTTGCCTGCTCAGTTTTTGTGGGCCTCATGCATTATATCAGCTACCTGCTTGGGGACCTGGGGTGCTCCTGGCTGGGGTGCGCCTGGCTGGGGAACGTCTATCCTGGCCACAGTGGAGGACAGTCTGGCCAGCTTGAGCTCCACCTCGGCGAACGGGTCCTGCAGGCTTGGCAACAGCTGCAGCGGCAGCATCGACAGTCCCTCCCCCTGGACAGCGCTCTCTTCCTCCAGCGGGGGCCCAGCAGCCGCCTGGCCGAGATAGTCATCCAGGAAGTACTTGTCCCTGGGCTCCTCCTCGGGCACAGAGAACTCTCCATTGGAGAACTCCTCGGCACCAGGTAAGGCCTCAGACATGGAGGAGTCCAGCGGGGATGACTCCGACTCCCAGGAAACCTCACACTTAGAGGGCTCCTGGGGCATGGAGAAGACCTCGGGCTTTGCCGCCAGCTCGTACTGGAACGCTGGTGGCTGCTCGGTCGTGTTGGCAAACTCGGCCCTGGATATGACCTCGGCCTTGTAGAGGACTTCTGCCTTCAGGACAGCCTCTGCAAAAACGGAGAGAGTCCTGCAGCTTTCTACAGAGTGAGGGGGAGGGGTCCGCTCCCAGGAAAGCGGCCCACGCCCTTGTTTCCAGGAAGCCAGCTGAAGGTTCAGAGCCTCCTGGGTCCCTGGAGTCCAGCTTGCCCCATGTCCTCTCTCCGTCATAATTCAAACCCAGCCTCCCTCCTCCTCCTCCTCCAGGAAGCCTTTGCTGACCAGCACCATGCCCTCTCTGCTCCTGGATCTCCCCAGCCACTAAGCGCAGGCTCTCCCCACCTCCCCTGACTTAGGAATGCTCTTCAACTTAGCAGGTGGCCCCATGGGTCTCCCTCCCTCCAGGGCTGAGAAGGCACCTGGTGCTCCCATATGCCCCCATGGGGTGCCCAGCTCCGGGTGCCTGTGCACGGAAGGTAAGTGAACCCGGGATGCGTGTTCCAGAAACCAAGTAAGGGTCCTTGGAGGCCTAATATTCAAACTGGAAGGAACACTATGAAGGACGGAAAATGCTAGAAGCTAGCCCTTCCCTCTTTTTCTGTATCTCTGTCAAGAGCCAAGGCTCCCTCCCAGCTGGGACAGAGCTCACACAGTCCAACTCAGGGGCTTCAGATGACCCCTTAACGTCCCATCCATTTCTTTATTGCTTATATTCTAGGCTCCCGAAGAGGGTCCTGATCCCCATCCCACCCCGACACACACACACTTTTTTTTTGCAGTATTGGGGATGGAACCAGGGCCTTGAACATGATGAGCAAGCACCCAGCCACTGAGCCCTTTTCATTTTATTTTGAGACAGGGGGTCTCTAAGTTACTGAGGCTGGCCTCAAACTCTGATCCTCTTGTCTCGGCCTCAGAGTTGCTGGGATTCCAGGTGAGCGCCAACTCTGGCCCTGATTCCCTTTGCTGAAACGTGACGTGCTCTCCCTGGCTAGTGGCCTGAACCTGAGCCTTGGTTTCCAAGCCTGTTAGGTGAGGATCTGGGGGGTCCTACTTCCCTAGGTTGGGGTAGGTGTGAGGAGAGGGCGACAGAGCACCCACACAGTACCCCGCACCCAGGAAAGCCCGACTGGGTCTCACAGGAGACGGGTTTTGCCGTCCTGGGTGAGCACGAGGTGGGCCCAGCCGCCTGGCAGCCTGGGGGTTTGAATGATACTCATGAAGGGAGCATCCTAAAAGGTCAAAACAAAGACAGGAACTTCCACACAAGCTCATACTTGCTAATGATCAGAATCCTTGTGGGATGTGGTTGCTTTGGAAACAGGCTCAAAAATAAGAGGAGACTGTGAAAGACGCAGAACCTTGGGGCAGGGACTCCATTCTCAAACCAGGGTGACACTGCACACCTACAAGTCAGCCCTGAGCTGGGCCAGCCTGTGGCCAAGCCACCAGGACATGCGGCATCACTGTGAGAACACTGGTCTGGGGCCAGGTGGCCTGGGATCAAATCCTGACTTCACCTTACCAGGTAAGTAGGTTACTTACCTTCTCTGGGCCTCCGTTTCCTCATCTACAAAATGAGGGTAACTGTGGACCTACCTGTGGGCCAGTGTGAGGATTAAACAGAGTGGGGCCTGCTGTGTAGAGCGCAGTCTATAAATGCTGGTTCTAAAGGGGGTGGGCGTGCCCACCTGTCTCCTTCCGCAGGTTCTCCTCCAGCGTGGACAGCTTCATATCATAGGAGTTGCGCATGGCAGTGATGTCTTCCTCCAGCCTGGCCCGGGACTCCTGCTCTGCCTCGTAGTCAGCCTTCAGCCGGGCCAGGCGCTCCTCGTACTCCTGGGGGTCAGGGGAAAAGCAGGGGCCCGCACTTTACCACCACTCACCACCTGGCTCTCAGTGTTCCCTGTGTTTACTCAAGTGACACAGGAAGGGGCTGGGGTTGTGGCTCAGTGGCAGAACTCGTGCCTCGCTAGGTTTGATCCTCAGCACCACAAAAAAAAGAATAAACAAAATAAAGATACTGTGTCCATGTATAACTAAAAAATATTTTTTAAAATGACACAGGAAATACAAGTGATCAAAAGAAGAACATTAAGCCCCCTGTGCAGCCTGGCCAGGGATCACCCCTCTGAATCTGCCCTGTGCGTTTTGCTTCCTGCAGTTCCAGGGTGGAACCCAGGGCACCTCATGTACCAGGCAAGCGCTCTAGCACTGAGCTGCACCCCAAGTCCAGGAAGGGACTCTCTTTTTAACTTTTCAACTTTGACTTACTAACAAGAAGGTTACAGAATAGGAGAAAATATTTCCAAAACATAAATCTGGTAAGAGACTTTTATCCAGAATAAAGAATTTATTTATTTATTTATTTTTGCCTATACTGGAGACTGAACCCAGGGGTGCTCTACCACTGAGCCACATATCTCAGCCCAATCACTCTTCATTTTTGCCACACTGGGGGGTGACGAGTAACTTGCCAACCCAGACACAGCACTTTCTCCTGCTCCTTAGCAAGCTTCTCCCCAGGCCTCAGCTTAATAGTGCCCCTCAGCCATGTCCCCACCACACTCTTGGAAGACCCCTGCCACTCGGCCACTGCATCGTCTTCTTAGCCCCCGTCTTCTCTGTATCTCCCCCTGGATGTGCACTCCCTGGACACCCCTCAGCCCATCCTCAGATGCATTTATACTTCAGGTAATAGCTGCAGTGTCACCGAGGCCCGGGGAGGTTCCACCACCAACAGCTCTCTGACAGCCTGGGAGACCGCCCACCACCCCCATCCTTGATTCCTTGAGAATCCCAGCCAGCGCACCCTCATTCCTGAGCCAGCACCCGCTTGTCACCCTGAGTCCTTTGCAGTTTTCTCCCAACACAGGCCTGACCCTGGTGAGCCCAGCCTCAGCCACCAAGCCCTGCGCCCCAGAAAAGCCAGCCTGGGAACGCGCAGCGGAGCCACCCTTCTCACTGTTAAACAAGGGGCCCTGAATCTCGGGGCCGCTGAGTGGCTGAGCACCCTGCCCTGTCCCCACCGTCTTCATCTGTTCTCTGTACTCTGCACGCCCCCACATCTCCTGCGTCTGCCTACACAGCAAACACCGAAGCCATGGGCACTGTCACCTGCCCATCCACCTGCAGGCAGCCGAGCTCCCCCTGTGGCCATCAGGCACCTCTGGAGCAGAGCCTGGAGGCCTTTCAGTCCCCAACTCCCTGCCATCCTCTGTACTGGAAGGCTCCCCACCAGTCTAACCCCAACCTCCCTGGGCCCCACAGGCCCTCCAGCTACAGTGCGCAGCGTGGAGAGGGCTGAATGGGGCTGGAGAGCAAGGCCAGCCCCCAACTTCAGGTGGCCAGCTACACAACCCAGCCGCCGGAAGACAGCCCTCCTCCTGCACGCCCAGGCCCACACCGGCAGCAAGCACGAGAGCCCAACGGGCAGACAGGGCCCAGAGAGCTGAAGCAACCAGGCCGAGGCCACAGCGCCCTGCAGGACTTGACGTGTGGCATGAACGGCTGGCTGTTCCCTGAGAATCTTCCAGTGGGAAATCTCACCGTGTGGACTGGAGACAGCGCCTCGCCACACCTGGGCTCCTAGCCGAGCCCCTCCACCACACAGAGGGGCCTCCCTCCTGAGCATCTGCCCGGCTGGAGGGGAAAGGAAACCCAGTCCCAGGCAGGTGGCAAGTGCAGTAAATATGACAGTCATGAGGGAGAACAAACGGCAGGGAGGAGGGAGGACAGACATCCTCAACCCTTCCAAGTGGCTCGGAGCAGAAACTCCAGGGTTATCAGGGAGTCTCAGTGTCAGTGGCAATGCAGAACACTCTGGTGGACGCTGGCCACACCCATCCCCAGGGACCAGAGGGACCCTCCTCCCATCTTCCTGTCTCCAGTCTCACAGTGGCTTGCCAGGAAGGGTGTCCCTACCCCATGGTGACCACTAGGGGGCGGTGGCGCCTGCTTATTGGACAGCCAGGGCACCCGCTCAACAGGGCAGCCTTGGGGAAGCTGTGATCACAGCTCCTGTCCAACACACCTTGCCAGTCCCTCCTGGATCTAACCAAAGTCCACCAGTTGATTCCACACCCTCCCGGGGCCCTGCAAACCTGACTTCTCTCGCTTCTGTGGGCTTGTGCTCCACCATCCCTAAAGGCCCCCTCTTGCTGCTACCTCCCCAGAGGCAGACCAGGGCTCCAGAGACAGACCTGGCACCAGACCCTGCCCCAGACTTGTCGGAGAAAAGGTGAACCGAGCAGCTGGGCTCCCGGGACCCCCAGCCCACAAGACAGGCCCCAGGCCTTACCAGCTGCACTCTCCACAGGCTGGGCACCAGGCCCCGCAGCTGGCACAGGCAGACCCAGGGCCTGAGGGCTGCCCCCAGCTGAGGTCATAGTTGAGTGGCAGGGGCCCAGGTGCAGAAGCAGCTAGGACAGACCCCTGCAAAGTTGGCTCTGCCTGGCAGTAGGTCCACTGTCAGGAAAAGCCACTTCCCTAAAGGGACTATCAAATGTCAACCTCTACCACAGGCTCAGCACCTGGAGCAGGGAGGGAGCCTAAGCCGGGAGTCTCAGCCTTCCCTCTGCCCATCAGCTCTCCACCTGCCCTCCTGCTTCCCAGGGACCCTGGGAGACACATGTGGAAGACCCAGGTATCCCCAGCAGCAGCTTTTCCTAGGAGGCCAACACTATGCTGACACTGGTCAGTTGGGCTGCCAGGCTCTTGGCCCCTGGCTGGCTGGCAGCTGCTAAGAGAGATTCCTGCACGGGGCCAAATGACCTTGGCCTGGCTCATTCCCACCCATATCCAGCCCTCCCCTCAGGCCTGGGGAGGATGCGCTCCTGGGGCTGTCCCGTGCCCTCTGCTGTCCTCACACATGTGTTCCCAAGGCATGGGCTGCAGGCAAGAGCCTGGAACCTGGGTTCAGATCCTGGCTCAGAGTCTCCATAGCTATGACCTTGGGCAAGGCAATGACAACTCTTTGAGCCCTAGTTTTCTTCGGTACAAAGAAAAGGCTGCGGCCCCAACCCCATGGGACAGGTGAGGGGGGTGCTATCCTGCGTTCGCTGGCCCTCCGAGGCCTAAAGCAGCAGTCACCCTCCCTTTCCTTAGGGGCCCTGCAAGCCTGCTCCCCCACATAACCAGGCCTCACCTCCCGAATTAGCTGCTTCTCGGCCTCTGTGTCTTGTTGGATCACAGGGGTGGGCAAGGGCTTCTCCTCAACCTGGACAGGCTTTGGGGGTGCCTGGCTGGACAGCATAGCTAGGAGAAAAACATGGGTAAGGAGCCGTGAGCGAGGCACCGGGTTTGCAGGAACTAAGCAGAAATCAGTCACACAGCCACTTGGAAAAGACACGTCTCTATATAAAATTCTGTTGGTCATCCAACAAATCTGTAGGTGCATCCAGACCCTGGGGTGCAGCACTGGACAGAGCAGATGAAACTCCACAGCCACGCTGAGCTTTCCACCAGGGGAGAAAGGCAAAAACAGAACCAAGCAAAATGTGTCACCTGTCACCAGGAGGTGTGTACAGAGAAACCAACCTCGGGGAGCAGGCTCGGAAGTACAGACCCCGAGGAGGGCTGCACTTTGAATACTGTGGTCTGGCAAGACCTCTTAGAGGAGGTGAGATGAAGGCAGAGATCTGAAGGAGGAGGAGGAGGAGGCAGAATCCAGGGGAGGGCTTCCCAGACAGAGTGGGAAGGCCCCGGGGGCAGGTCTGGGCCTGCACTAGAGGCCAGTGGCTGGAGTGGAGCGAGCGGCGTAAGGGGGACAGTTGGAGGGTGCAGGCTGGGGAGGGCACGAGGCCAGATCCCAAATCCACAGCTTGGACAGGCCAGGGTTCCCTGAGCCCAGCAGAATTACTCCACCCAGCCAGCCTCAGCTGTCCCCCTGCCAGGTCCTGGATTCCCCCAGAAACCCCAGAAAAGCCCGAGGTGACCATGGAGGGAGGAGAGACAGGACCGCTCCTTGGAGGGAGGACAGAGGGAGTGGGGGAGAAAGACTGGGAGCAGCAAACGCAGACAAACGTTTCACATTGTGCTAAATTTTTTTAGAAACACGCCAGGAGCCAGAGGGAGAGCCAGGCCTGGCCAGCACCGGGGAGGCTCCTGGAGCCTGGAGTCCCACAGGCCTGGCTCGAGGCTCAGCTCCAGGCCAGGGCGGCACGGGCTGTCTGGGGGCCTGTGAGCCAGACCCAGGCTGAGGTCTCACGGGCGTCTCTCAGGCCATTCCCAGACCCCCGCCAAAAACAAGCCAGTGTGGCCTCCACCTCCACTGCACAGAGGAGAGGCGGGGCGGGCCTCTCCCACAGGAGGGGAGCTGGCTACCGACTGCCTCTGCCCCCCCCCCCCCCCGCCCCTGTTCCTCAGCAACCTGCGTGTTGCGGCCCACATTGGCCACTCTCATCCTGCGAGACTGGGCTCACCACGGCCTCCTCTGGGCGCCTTCTCTGACTGGCCACGGGCCACCCCCAGACCGACCTGGCCACACACTCCTTTCTGCCCTACAGTCTGTCGTGTGTGTGAGGGTCTGCTGGAGCGTCCTCTGGCCCAGGAGACCAGGGCCCCATGAGACCCTGGGTCTGAGTCATCGCTGTGTCCCCAGCACCCAGCCACATGCAGAGGTGGTGCTCAGGGAATCCTGGACGGATGGGCAGTGGGTGGGAGGAAAGATGGAGGAATGGGTGGCAGGGTGGAGCATGGGTCTGTGGGTGGCGGTGGGTGGGGCTGGTGGTCAGAGTGGGTGAATGCGCGGATGGACTGGGGAGGGAAGGAGGGAGGGAGATGGAGGAGGAGGGAGGGGAGGGAGGGGAGACTGCGCAGGCAGCGGTAGATAGTGCAGGGCTGGGAGGCGGGAGGCAGATGAAAAGGGAGAGGCGAGGCGGAAACTGGGTGACTGGTGATGGCAGGTGCGTGGGCGGAGGGAGGGCCACGTGGGATGGAGGGCACGGGAAGGTGGGCAGGACGGACTGCCGGAGTGCATGAGCCCAGGCTCTCTGCTCCCCTGAGATCAGGGGGGTCCCGGAGTCCTCCGGCTGCACCCTGCAGGCCCACTCCTGGCACGATCCCCTGCCAGATGACAGCCAGCCTGGGCGGGAAAGCCGCAATGACAAGGTGCCTAATGAGGCACAGGGTGGGGCGTGGGGAAGTGAGTCACCCCGCTGCTGAGCTCACGACGCTGCCAGAGACGTGGGCAGGCAGGTGACAGATGAGCCCAGAGGCGGGGAGTGGGCGACAAGGGCCTGCGGCTGAGGGACAGGTCAGGCAGACTGGCCTCTTCCAGGGGAGGGACAGGCGGAAGCCATGTCCGAGGCGCCCTCGGTGGAGGCGGAGGTGGGCGCTGCTCCCACCCTCCCTCCCACGCCGGGGGGCCGCCCACCTGCCAGGCCGCCGGGGCTCACGTGCTGCGCCAGGATGGCCTTGAGCCTCTTGATCTCCTCCTGGTACTCCCGGAGGAGGGCGTCCTTGGGGTCCTCATTGATGCGCGGCTTGTTCTTGATGTTCTTGGCCCGGTTGGCGTAGCGCAGCGTGCTGAGGGTCTCGTCGTAATTGTTGTCGGCGGGGGACAGGCAGGCCACCATCAGCGTCTTGGTGTTGCCGCCCAGGGAGTCCTGCAGCAGCCGCGTCAGCTTGGAGTCGCGGTAGGGGATGTGCTTGCAGCGCCCGTCCACCAGCGCCGAGATGACGTTGCCCAGGGCAGACAGCGACAGGTTGATCTTGGTGGCCTCCTTGAGCCGCTCCCCGGTGGCCCCCGTCTTGGACTGCCGCTCACTGCCTGCCAGGTCCACCAGGTTCAGCTTGCCGGCTCGCAGGTGGTCCTTGCCCCGCTCGTCTGCAGACAACCAGGCGGGAGGCAGACCGTGGGTGAGCCCACAGGAGCCATGGCAGTTCACCACCAGGCCCTGAGGGCCCAGCACCCACCCAAGGCCTCACATCAGGCTAAAAGGAGCCACACAAAGGAGGTGCAACCATTGTGTCCATCTTACAGAGGAGGAAACTGAGGCTCAGAAAGGGCATGTGACTTTCCCAAGGTCACACAGCTGCCAAGAGGTAGAGCCAAGACCAGAACCCAGGGCTATCTTTTTCCAGGGAGTAGAGTCTGGGAGGGACAGAGTGTTCTGAAGACAGCAGGATTCCTTTTGGCCACCACATCAATTCCTATAGATTTCTTGTGAGGCCAAAGGCAGAGGATGAAGGATGTGATTGGATCACCAGGGAGTTGTGTTCTTTCACACACACACACAAATGCTTTAGAAATCCTTGGACCTGGTTCCCAATGCAGTCCTGCCTCCTCCTTGCTGTGAGACGTTAGCAGAGCCATGCATCTCTCTGAGTCTCAATTTCACACATCCATGAAATGAGACTAGCAATCTACTAGAGTAGATGGTGGCACATTCTTGCAGGATCTACCTGGGGCCAGCACACATCGGGGGGTCATTCCTCTGGGAACAGGGACAGTTCTGCAGGGCCTGGGGCTGTGCCAGTAGAGCAGACCTTGGATGTTGGGCGTGACAGGAGAGCCAGGCACTGGCTGGGAGCACGGGGCTTAGAAACAGGTTTTTGAAGACACAGACCTGGAGGGTCACATCCTGATTCTGTCCCTTAGTGGCTACAAAACTGCAGGAAATGGCTTCCCCCTGGACTGGAAAGCTCAGCCTTCCTCCCGAGCAGGGGGCCGAACCCTCCTGACTGGGTGGGGTCCCACAGGGCACACACTCGCAGAACCCTGGCGCCCCTGGCTCAGGCCAGAGCCCATGCCACGACAGCATGCTGCTTAGTGCTACTGAGGTTCTTAGTCATGGTCACGAGGTCACCAAAACTCCCCAAGAGAAAGGGGGTAAAATCATTTGTTTCTGACTTCTCTGTGAACTAGGCCCAAACTCGGGATAGGGAGGGAGTGGACGGGGCACAGAGCTTCCTCCCTGTTTCCCACGGGCTGGACCAGAATTGGCCTGAGTCATGTCCATGGGCACAGCAGTGAAAGTCTGGCTGTACCCAGGAGTGACGGACACGCAAGGGGCTTCGTTCTTCAGGTTTAAAAGGAAAAAGAGAGGGGGGCGAGCTGTGGGGGTGGGTGCACATCTACAATCCCAGCCACTCTGGAGGCTGAGGCAGGAGGACAAGTTTCAGGTCAGCCTGGGCAACTTAGCAAGACCCTGTCTCAAAATAGAATAAAACAAGGGCTGGAGATGTTCAGTTCCCAGCACCCCCCCCCAACACACACACACAAAGCAGGGGGGGCGCCCGGGGGGGTAGAAACTTCGTACTACTCCTTTGGAAAGCTATTTGCAGAATGTACCAAAATGTACCAGGAGCCTTGAACCTGTTTGTTCCCTTTGTTTCCTGAGGCCAGTCCCGGGAGTCTAACCTGAGGAAATGCCTCCCAAGGCAGAAAAGGCTTTGAGCACAAAGATGTTCCTCACAGCATTAGTTACAGCGCTGAAAAGCCAGAGGCAGTTTTTACCCCTTGTTTGAGGAGGGGTTAGAAAGGGCATGAGCCATGGGCTGTCCTCTGGCCACACGATCACAAAGACATGGTGAGGAGATGGGGGCAAATGCTCGGTGGTGGCCTGGGGGTGAATGCCAGGAAAGAACCACAAAGAGCAGAAGAGTCCAACTACGTCTAAAAATTTCATAGGAAAAAAAAGTGCCGGGCTGGGCGCCACGGTGCAGGCCTGTAATCCCAGCAACTTGGGAGGCTGAGGCAGGAGGACGACAAGTCCCGTAACTCAGTGAGGCACTGTCTCAAAATAAAAAATAGAAAGGGCTGGGGATGTGGCTCCCGGTTAAGCACGGGCCAATCCCTAGTGCCACTGAACAGAGAAAAAGAAAGCCTGCTTGCCCTCAGTGGAGCTGGGCTTAGCCCTCGGTACCGCTGTTTACCCAGGAAGCAGGGGCCCAGCAGGGGGCACCGGCGGTTCCCCACGGTCAGGGTCAGGGTCAGGGCTTCTCTTCCCAGTTTCCCTTGGGGCTGGAGGGCTCCTGAGAGGAGTGCTGGGGCCGGCAGGAGCGGGAACCTGGCTCAGGTGCTCAGCCTCCCTGCCCCCACCCCGCCACATACCCACGGCGTAGATCTCGATGCTGATGGTGAAGATGGAGTGGGAGCGCGAGGAGTCCTTGTTCATCAGGGTGTAGCCCACCGAGCGGTTCTTCCAGCCCGTCTCCATGATGCGCTCGCACTGGGCCACGCTGTGCACCGTGTGCAGGGACAGCCCCCTCACGTACACACCCTTCTCCGGGTGCTCCTTCAGCTGTGGCGGGAGGAATAGGTCGGGCCAAAGCCGGGATCAGAGATCCCCAAGGAACCTGAGAGAGGGGCCAATCCAGGCAACCAGGCCCTCCTGCAGCACAGCGGGGCCAGGCAGCGCACCTGCCCTGGCTTCCTGCCTGCTGTGAGACCTCAGGCCAGTGACCTAACCCGAACCTCAGTTTTCACATCTGTAAAACGGGTATGAGATGCCTATCCCATAGGGACTATGGTAAAGATCCAGTAAATAAGGCACAGACAATGCTCAGCATGTGCCCAGCGTGTGGGAAGTGCCTGCTGAATGCAGCTGAGGTCTGGGCTGTCATTGTTAGAATAATTCCCAAGAAGTGGTTCTCAGACTGGGGGCTTCAGCTCCCTGGGGCTGATTCTGTAGTCACCCGAGGGCTCTGACTGGTCTCCAATCTGTCCATGTGGCTCCTGATTACCTCTCTGTAGTTCCTCCAGGGCCACGGGGATGTCCCCAGGCCCTTGGAGGTGGCAGGTGAAGGGCCAATTGCATCACATCCCAGAACCCCCAAGGATCAAACCGGCCCAACCTAACTGCAATATCAGGGACCAGGTAGCCATCTGGGAGCTCCCGGCTCGATCTGCAGGCAGCCACGCTGTTTAGCGGTGACACAGAGCTGTGAAAGGCAATATTTTTCAAGTGTGAGAGGAAACAAAACCACTCTGGCAAGAGCGGAATGAATCAGGACAACAGGTGTTTGTCTGCCAATGGCCCTACTGCTTGGAGACACTGAAGGCTCAGACGCATGGCTCCAGGCAGCTTCAAGGGTCCCCAGTGGCTGGGCCCCTGCTGTGTGTGGGCAAGCACAGGCTGGCCCAGTCTACTCAGGTGTGAAGTGCAGAAGCAGCCAGGCCCAGCTTGAAGGGCTGCATGCAATGGGTAAGCAACTGAGGCACAGAGAGGCTAAGCAACTTATTGAAGGCTGCACAGCTATTAGAGGTGATAGAAGGCTCCAGAGACAGGGTAAAGAGAGCATCCCATAGTACTGCAGCTTGAAGTGACAAAGGGCTGACCTTGTCCTAGGCAGTGGTGGTAAGAAGGAACACAAAGGACAGAAGCAGGAGTCCCTGCAAACGGTGTGGCTGGACACCAGCCCAGGGCTCTGTGGAAGTATCTGAGGCTGCCCACCTCGGGAACTCAGAACCCACCTGGTGCACAGCGAGCCCAAGGAGGGGCTGGGCACCTGCCTTCAGGAAGCACCTATTTAGCCAGTTTCTTATTTAGTCAGACAAACTCAGGCAGGAAACCTGGTCTGTGACTTGCTGGGTGGGAAATCCGTTTGCCTGTGGCCCCAAGTCCCTCGTCTGTGCGGTGGCCATGATGAATCCTGATTCTGCAAGACTGTTCCGAGGCTGAGGAGGGAACGATCTACAACAAATGCCGCAGGTACTTAGCGAGGCTCAATGAACCAGGACGTAAAGACGACAAGGAGCTGACTCAGGCCTGAGCCACCAAGGGACATCCCTCAGGAGGGGGTCTCCCCTGTTTTAGACCCAGGAAGTCTTTCCCTCACCTGTGATGCCCCCAGGGGCGTCCTCCCTACTCCTGCCCCTGCACATCCTCCCGCCCTGCTCTGGAAGACGCCAAGGGGCATCGATCGGCCAGTGCATGCCCCCTTCCTTGGTAACTGCTCAGAGCAAGGTCACCATGGCAACCGGCTGGGATGAGACAGGGAAGGAGAGAAACTCAGGAACAGGGACGTGACCAGGGTCCAGTCCCAGGTCCATGGGGAGGGGCAGGCCCTAATGCTCTGCCAGCACACAGGCGGGGAGACGCAACTTGAGCCCTGTGGGCCCGTCCCCACCACACACCAACGGGCTGGGTCCCGTGTGTTTGCAGGAGCTCGGGGAAGGGAGTCTAACACTCCCCAAATGACCTGCAGGCCCTTGCTGACCCAATGAGCTCTAATTATAAAATCAGGCCCCGTGTGAGGCCCAGGTTAAGAGCTTGTGCTGAAGTGTGGCCCCCGAGTTCAACCCCTTGCCACTCTTCTAAGGGGAGCCCTGGCTGGTCATAGGAAGGTGCACTAAGCCTCAGCTTCCTCCTCACTGTCAAGGGTGAGAACAGTCCCTCCAGCAGGAGGCTTCGGGGACAGCCTGAGGGAGCACCTAAGGCCTGTGCCCCAGCAGCCTGGGAGGCAGCGGGCTCACCAAGCCTGAAGCCTGTGTGTGCAGCGGCAGGAAGGCGCCTCCTGGGTCCCCAGGTCTTCTAGGGCCCTGGAAGGGGAGGAGAGGCCCCGCTGCCCCAGCGCGGGCTGATGGGAGGCTGCAAACAGGTGGCCCAGCCCCTGGCCTTTTGGAGGTGCCAACGGGAGCAACACCCTGTGCTGCCTCCTCGCCCTGCTTCCCGTCTGGGGGCTGAGCTCTGACTCAGCTGTGCCAGGAGAGAGGAGAAGGCACAGAGGCTCCAGGTGGGCGGCCGGGCTCCTGCCTGGAGAGGAAGAAGCGCGGCTCCATTTGCGCAGAGCGAGCAGGAGGAGGGCTGGGGTCCTGGCCTGGATGGACTGGGAGGCGAGAGGGGCTCACTCCTGGTGCAGCGTGTGGCCTGGCCCTGGCACCCACAGGGCCTTCCCAGTAAGCCTCCGTTGATAAATGAATCAACGGATGACTGTCCCTCCCTCCTTGGAACTGAAATCACTGGCTTGTTACTGGCCCACGACGGGGGTTGGTCGGATGGGCAGCAGCAGAGCCAGAGCAGCGGGAAGCTGGCAGGAAGACGGCCCACCAGGGCTCTGGCTGCACAGCGGGGTCAGCATCCCCCACTGGCCTCTTTTCTCCTTGCACCAGGCAGACCCATCAGCATATAAGGAGCCTCCGACAGGAGACATAACAGTGCCTCTCACCAGGCAAAGGCCAAGGCTCTCAGACCTGAGTCCAGCCCGGCCACTCACGGGCCACCCTGTCCTGGCAGGTCTCTTGACCTCCCTGGGCTCCCCAAAGACCAGCCTGGTTCTGCCTATCTGGATAGAACCCCAAACATCTAACTCTGCTCCCCACTGCTGTGAAGTGACATCAGCCATCCTGAGTCTAGGCTTTTAGGAGACTGAAGACAATTTATGAAATTTGCACAAGGGTCACCGACTGAGCCAGCCCTAACCTTCTAAGCTGTTGCGAGTTGCTGATCTGTCCTGACGCTGCCCCCGGAGGGTTCCACTTGGCAACAGCCCATCACAGTCACCCTCCTTTCTCTCAGTCCCAACAGGAAGTCGCTCACTCTGGGCACCAGTAAGCCCTGCAGCTCATCCCGACTGCCCTCTTCAACACTCAGAGATCCTCTGCAGCCCCATCCTGAGTCCCTTTCAAAGGGAATAAGGCCTCAGAACCTGAGCTCAGCAGCAGCAAAATGACATATTTGAGACCCAGGACTTTGAATCAGACAGACCTAGGTTCAGCCTGCTGCTGCAATATTTAACTTAGACGAGTTAATGACCCTTTTTTTTTCTTTTATTCTTTTTTTTCTTTTTGTATTGGGTATTGAAACCAGGGTCACTTTGCCACTGAACTATACCCCACACGCATTTTTCTTTTTCTTTTTGAGTCAGGGCCTTGCTAAGTTGTTGAGGCTGGCCTTGAACTTGCGATTCTCCTGCCTTGGTGCCTTGTTCCTCCTGAGTCCCTGGGGTAACAGGTGTGCACCCCTGCACCTGCATTCATAACCCCTTCTAAACCTCCCTTCCACAGTGGTAAATCAGAAATGAAAATCTTCACCCAGCAGGTTACCACAGGTATTAAATGGGACCATGCTTTCTCTTTTAGCATGAAGGGCCCTTAGAGATTTTCATAATTATGTTTTACAAGTAGAATCCCTTTTTCAAGGGCCTGGGGTTGTGGCTCAGTGGTAGAGCACTCACCTAACACGTGTGAGGCCCTGGGTCTGATCCTCAGCACCACATAAATAAATAAATAAAATAAAGGTATTGTGTCCAACTACAACTAAAAATAATTTTTTTTAAAAAAAAAATCACTTTTTCAAGTAAAAATATATCACAAAACTCCACCTGTTTGAACACACAGACATGGCATTGCCCAGGATGAGACTGCCCTCGTGCGCTGGGTGGGAGGCCCATGAACCCCTCTCCTGCACCGTGGGCTTGACAGAAAACACTGAAGTCCCACAGGCTGACTGTGGTCTAGACCAGCCCCTGCACCGCAGGCTGCGCTCCCTGCACTTCTAAGGGAGGCCATGGCCTCCCCAGACTGGGTCTGCACCCACCTCCAGCTTCTGCTTGGTATCAGGCCCCAGCAGGTCACGGACATCTTCATTGTAGATCTCCAGGTAAGAGGCCCGGACCAGAAACTTGGTGTTCTCTGCACACTGTGGTGATTAGACACACAGAGACATCTGAGGCCAAAGCCTCCCTCCGGCTGCCAGGCCTGGGCCTCCACAGCCGGCAAATCACAGGAAGAGGAGTGACGCAGGTTTGCATGACAGGAGTCCCCATCCCGGCCTAGCCCTCCTATCCTTCTGGCAAACCCCCCACCTCTCCAGCTCAGGGGAGCTTCAGGCCTCACCACGTTGCAGAATTCTGTCAATAAGCCACATGGGGAAGAAAAGAAGCCTGTCCGTTACTCAGGCAGAGAAACTGTGGCCACAGGTAAGGCCTGGAGCAAGCACTGACTCTGGGCTGATCTCTGGCAGCTCTCCCAGCCCCTTCGTGTCCCTGAGTGGTGGTCAGGCTGGATAGTGAGATCATTACGCAAGGGGCTTTTCTTGGTCCGTGACAACTGCTTGATACAAAGGGAGCCATATTTGCTACAACCACCTCAGCCGTAGTGCTCCATCTCCACAGCCACGGGCAATGTCAAGTGAATGCTAAGATCCAAAAATGGCAGGAGGAAGACGTGGGACTGGAGAATTTTCTCAGCTTTAAGTTTTTCTTCCACCAGGATTTTCAGAAACCAGCGTCTGCCACCCCTGATCTACGCCAAGTCTAGGCTGGGCTCCGACCTCATCCCACAGTCCATGGCACAGGCCAGAAACACCCTGGGGCCACCTGGGGTGCTGGCCCTGCCCTCTCCCTCTGAGAGGCCCATACCTGAACACTCTCAAACACGTGCTCAAAGGCCCTGGGGATGATGCCTCTCTGGGACGGTGGGTCTGGCAGGCCCTGCATGGTGAAGGACTTTCCGCTGCCCGTCTGGCCGTAGGCAAAGATGGTGCCATTGTAGCCCTCGGTGACTCCCTGCATGGGAGGAAACCAAAACCAGGCACTCAGATGACCAGGCCCAGGTGGGCAATCAGAGACCCACAGACTCTGGAAAATTCCCTGGGTATCCCACCAATGAACCCCGGGGCATGGGTGAGGAGTGGAGAGGCCTAAGGTACAACTCTGGTAGTTCATGGTCCAGGGGTAGGAATCTGTTCCCACGGGGGCAAGCACTTGGCTGACCCCAGGCCACAGAGGTACCGGCCAGGAGAGGGGTGCCAACAAGTGAAACAGGACATGGCAAGAACCAGGCACAGGCTTCTGGGTGGTAAAGGTCCAACTGGGTTGGGGGGCTGAAAGGGTAGCTTGGATCTGACAGGTGACAGGAAGAAGGTACCTCAGGTTGAGGGGACAGCTGGAGCAAAGACACAAGGGACAGATGTTGAGCAGAGGTGGAGCAGGGGCCAGGGGGGACAGAAGAGGTGGCTGGGAAGGAAGGCTGGAGGCGACTCGGGTGCCGTTTCTAAATCATTCTTCACTCATCTCTACACTTATTCTCCCAGTACTGGCTGTCTTCTCTGTGCCAGGCACCGTGCTCTGGCTGGGACAGAAGAGTGGACAAGGACACGGTCTCTGCCCCCAGAGAACGGCTCCCAGGGCTCAAGGGCCCACCAGGCACCGACACCTGGTTCCACTGAAGGATTTCTGCTGTGGACCCCATCAGAGCTCAGCGGGCAGCCCCCAGAGCTGAGGGACAAGAAGGCAGGAGCCGCTATTCACAGGTCCCCAAGAAGACGAGGTTTCTCTTTTATGGGGTAGAAGTGAATGAATGAACTCTTCTCCCTCGTCCAAGGAAATCGTGACTAGCGTGAGTTCCTGCAGCTTCTCAGAGAAGTGGGCTTCACGCATGGAACCCCTCCAACCTCATCAGAGTGGGGACAGGCAGGAGCCCGTGTCCTGAGGCTGGGCTTCTCAAACCCATGGGCCAGGAGAGAGAGAGAGAGGCATGAAGCCTCTGGGAAAACATGGAGTGGCTCCACAGTACCAATGTGACCGGAACAGGAAGAGAGCCTACATAAAAAGAGATATAATATACATGTGCGAGTATGCACAATGATCCACTATTATGCATAATTATCATGCACCAATACAAATTTTTTTTTTTGTTGGTACTAGGGATTGAACCCAGGGACACTCAACCACTGAGTCACACCCCCAGTCCTTTTTATTTTTTAGTTTGAGAAAGAATGGCTTAGGGCCTCGATAAATTGCTGAGTCTGGCTTTGAATTTGCGATCCTCCTGCCTCAGTCTTCTAAGCTGCTAGGATTACAGGGGTGCACCATCACACCATCACTTTTAAAATAAAATGTAAAAAGAAAAGAAATACAGCTGCACTGCACAGCTGCTTCGTGCACCGGGATAGCTGCTAGTTGCACTGGACACGTGCCGGGTCCAAATGAGGAAATGAATTTATTTTAACTAAAAACATTCTTTTGTGGTGCTGAGGATCAAACCCCAACCTCATACATGCTGGGGAAGTGCTCTGCCACTGGATACATCTCAGCCTCTTAAAAATTTAATTAATTTAAATTTTAAAATAAAAGCAGCAGTGGCACAGGCCTGTGATCCCAGTGACGCAGGAGGACTGCAAGTTCAAAGCCAGCCTCAGAACTTAGCAAGACCCTGTCTCAAAATAAAAAAAATAAAATAAAAAGGGCTGAGGATGAAACTCAGTGGCACAACATCAATAGATTTGATGCCCAGTGCCAAAAACAAAATTAAAACAACAAAGACAGAAGCAATACAAAATATTCTTCCATTAAACACAACTTTATTTTTTGTTTCATTTTGATGATTGAAACTGAGATGTGCCAAAAGTGTAAAATACATACCAGATTTCAAAGATTTAGTATGAAGGAAAAATATAAAATATCTCATTAATATTCTTAAGATAACATTTGTTATTGTGCTTTTTCTTAAAATGGTATTTTTTATATTGGGTTCACTATATATATATTTTTTTCTGGTGCCAGGGACTGAACCCAGGGGTGCTTAACCACTGAGCCACATCCCCAGACTTTTTATTTTTTCATTTTGAGACAGGGTCTTGCTAGATTGTTTAGAGCCTTTGCTAAATTGCTGAAGCTGGCCTTGAATTTATGATCCCGATCCTCCTGCCTCAGCCTCCCAAGTTGCTGGGATTATAAGCGTGCGCCACTGTGCCCAGCTTGGGTTAACTATAAATTCTTTTTAAAAAAATATTTATTTTTTTAGCTGTAGTTGGATACAATATCTTTAATTAATTAATTTATTTTTATGTGGTGCTGAGGATCGAACCCGGCCTTACCTGCGCTAGGTGAGCGCTCTACCGCTGAGCCACAACCCCAGCCCCACGACCCCAGCCCCAGGTTAACTATACTCTTAAAATTAGTTTTAACTGTCTCCTTTTACTTGTTAAAATGTGGCCACTAGAGCAACTTGAATTATGTATGTGGCTCACGGGATATTTGCCTTGGAAAATGCTGTCAACTGTACCATCCAGTATGGTAGCCCCAAGCCACATGTGGCCACTGAAATTTAACTTAATTAAAATTAAATGAAATTAAAATTCCTCAGTAGCATAGTCTCGTCCTGTTTGCCCCATTTGGAGGGAGGGCACAGAGCATTTTCATCATCCCAGGAAATTGCATAGGATCGTGCTCTCTGTAGAAAAAAATTTTAGGTCATTTCTAAGGCAAAACAAAGTTTTTGAAAAAGTCCCACCTAACAACTGATACCCCCAGACCCTCACAGGAAGAGCACACACGGAGCCAGTCACAAAAGCTTGCCACTCTGCATTGCCGCCCTAGTTCTGCCACATCACCTGTGTTACTATTCACTAAAGGGTTTTGATGAAATCAGCAATTAATGGACTGCTTCTTGCATGTGCTGTGGATGGAACTCAGGGCTTCACACATGCTCCGCAAGTGCTCTACTGCTGAGCTGCACCCCGGGCCCAGAAATGGACTCTTTTGTGTGTGCGTGTGTGGGGTACTGGGGATCGAACCCAGAGCCTTGTGCATGTAAGCAGGCACTCTGCCAACTGAGCTATATCCCTAGCCCCAGAACCTGGTGTCATCCTGAGCAATAATTCCCATGACATTGCATTGAAGATTATATATTTTTCCAACTATTGAAATTAAAATTAAAACATATCCTAAGTTGCCCCACACCCCCTTTCTGCTTCCTCCAAACATCCCAGGGGCCAATTCTGTGGTTTCTACCGCACTGATGTCTCAGAAAACAGGTTCACCCTCTTCAGCCTGGCCATGGCAGAAGCCTGGTATGTGGCCCCTGCATGGACCAGGGGCAAATCAGCAGAGGTGACCCTGAGGCCTTGGGTGTGAAGGGGCAGGGAAAGGTGGCAGAGCTGCAGGCTAAGAAGGGTCCCCAACCAGGCCACAGGCAGGACAGGAGGGAGGAGTACAAGGGAGGGCATCCTAAGTCAACCAGGGGCAGTGTGGAGAGGATTAGCACCCAGGAGAATTGAAAAAGTCACCCAGGGACAAAAGCTCAGGAATGGAGCCCGGATTTAAGGGGTGGGGGAGAAAAAGGGCAGAAAATGAAGGCAGAAGTGCTGGGGGCTTCGTGTGGCAGGAATGAAGGGAGGGTTCTGGACTAAAGGCTTCCTAGAGGTTGTCCTGGGGCCTAAGTCAACAGCCAGATAGCCCTTGGAGCAGGACTCAGAGCTGAGGAGGGTGTGTGATTTGCATGTGTTTTGCATATTATTTGCATGCTTCTTTTAATAGAAGGCAGCAGATAGAGCATGGGAACTGGGTACTGGGATAGGACTGTCCCTAACTCTCCAGGCCCAACTCTCCAGGCCTGTTTCTTATCGGGAATGGTAACTCCAGCTCTTCCTATGAAGATCAAATGCTGCATGCTGGTCTCCACCCACAGGGCCTTCTCCTCTACCTCCCTGCCTAGTTGACTCTTCTCATTCTCAGGTCTCAGCTGAGACCTCCTTTCCCCAAGGAAGTCCTCCCCATTAGTTCCCTTTAGCTCATCACCTTGAACTGTTAGCTTAGGAGCTCTTCCCCCTGACCTTGAGCTTGCTGAGGGCAGAGTCTAGGTCTCCTTTATATGCACTCCCTATGCCTAGAATAGGGGCCTTTATGGAGATGCTAGTTAGTTGGGTGAGTGAGTGAACGGGCAGAGTCTGAGGCTCTGTGGACCATCCAGAGGCAGGTGTTGGCACTGCAGAACTCAGGAGAAGAAGAGTTGGAGGGCAGCTCTGACAGGCCCATCACCTTGTCTGTGGTGTTTCCCTCTCCAAGCTGGGGCTTCCTGGGGACCTGAGAGAGGCTTGCTTAGAGCAAGATTCCAGGATGAGGAGGGACCGGGAGGAGCAAGGCTAACAACCTAGAGGAGGCATGGCCAAGAGAGAATATGGTCTTCAAATCTGCCAGGGACCACTGAAAGTGTCACTGGAGCTTCAGGAAGGGCTTTGACTCAGTATGAAGAACAGTTTCCTAGAACCCACAAACCCAGGTGAAACAGGGCACTTTGGGAAGTGAACTGCATTCAGTGGACACACACACAGGTGAAGGCTGGTGTCCACTTGGTGGACATTCATGGATTCGATGAAAGAGGAGGGCTGGATCAGATGATCTCTCAGGTCCCTTCCAGCCTGGGAATCCAGGCCAGCAGAGGATAACCTGGCTATCCCTAGAGTCCAGGAGCATCCCCTAGGGGAACTTTCCCTCATCCTCTGGGCATCGTCTCTGCTCAGGTCCTTGTCACCCAGGAGCTCTGGGCTTCAGGAAGCATCAACCCTCTCCAGGGTTTTAACTGGTTCCTGGCAAAAGAGATGGGAGCAGCCAAAGGGAGTGCTCTTAGGATGTTAGGGGGCCTGCTGGCCAAAAGACAAAGTGGCCATGCCAAATCTGTTTTGGAAGCACTGGGTTAAGTAAGCTGAAGTGTCTCCACAGCACGACTTCCCAGAGCCTCAGCTATTCCACCAAGCCCCACAGCTTTGAGCGATGGAGGGCGCATACAGCATCACCCCACTGTTCCTTTTTTTATGGAACAGCCCATGACATGTCACTGAATCAACAATTCACTGAGTGATAGGGAGATGACAGTGGAAAAAAAGGAACCCTTGGCCAGGAGACAGGAGGTGTCTGTCATTCCCAACCCATCTCTGCCAGAAACTCATGTGGAAGCTTGGGCAAGTCTCCTCTCTCTGGGCCTCAGTCTCCCCATGTGTGAAATGAGAGTGCCTTCCCTGTTATGGAGCACAGGTCACAACAGCGAGGGTAAAAGCCCTGTAAAGCCAGGAAGCCTCGCCCCCCTTTGCCTGAAATACTGAGGCAGAGGAGACCTGTTAGGGTTTCCTCCAGGACAAGCCTGACCTGCAGCCTTCTCAGAAGCAGGGCCCATTGAGGCCCTTCCATGCTACTACTAGGTGCTGACCCAGGGGAGGATCAGGGTGCCAGGGAGAGAGGTTCAAAGGGGAACAAGTGTAGGCCATGGCTTGGGCTGGAGGTTGAGGGGAGACCGGAGGCTCTTGTGATTCAAGGAGGCTGGGGAAGGGGCTGGGATGATGGTGCACGGCAGATGGGTCCTGGGAGTTGGAGTTCTTCAGGAAAGGGTCTGGAAAGGACGGGGTCCAGACCAGCTTTGGCGCTGGGTTCAGTGGAGACCTGGACGGCCACTGTAGGTAGGCAGGTTCCAGCTGTCTCTGGCCTGGACAAAGTCTTCAGACCAACCTGCTGCTAGCCACCTGCTTCCCCCTCCTAAGGGCCTTCTTGCCCGGCTGGGGGCAGGGCCCTGGGGCCCTCTGACCCTTCAGGCCCCTCGGGTCTGGAAGGCGGCCTGTGGGGCGCCCTCACCTCCACCAGCGGGTAGGCGATCTCGTTGTAGATCTGCTCGGTGACGTGGTCCATGTAGTAGGCGCCGTCGAAGGTGAACTGCTTGGGGGGCTCGTCGGCGGCGCCCGGGTTCTGGATGAAGCACTGGCCGCGCGCGCAGTCCACCGTCACCACGGCCTGGCAGTTCAGCTCCCGCTCGCGCTGGTTCATGGGCCGGCAGCGCACCACCACCTTCACCGACTCGGAGGCCATGGCCCCGCGGCCAGGACCTGCCGGGCGCGGCGCGACTGGGACGCCGGGGTCCCGGCTGCCGGCGGCGGGGGGCGGGGCCTGGCGGCGGGGGCGGGGCCGCGGCGGGGGGCTGGGAGGGCCCGCGGGGCTCCCCGAGAGGAGGGGGAGAGGGGCCGCGGGGGAGTCGCAGGACCCGAGCCGAGGCCGCCGCCGCCTCCCGCGCCCGGGCTCGCCAGTCCCTGAGGCCGGGCCCGGGCGGGGGACGTGGGAGATCCGCGTTGCGGGCTCAGCCGCAGGACCCGGGCCCGGAGCCGCCCCAGCCGCCTGCTCGCGCGCGCGCGCCTTCACGGCGTTCGTCGTTGCCGGGCAACGCCGTGACGTCACAGGGCGGCCCGCAACCCCGGCGCGTTCTCCGGGCCGCAGAGCCGGGCCGCGGAGCGGTACCGGGCCGAGAGGCGTCCAGCCCGAGCCGGAAGGGGTCAGTGAGACCTGTCTCACCTCGGGGCGAGAGCTCTCGGGAGCGAGGCCTCATGCGGGGTCAGCGACCGAGGAGTCCTCTGTCCTCACCTGCGTGTGGCCCCGGGGGAAGGCCGCCCAGAGCCCGCAGCGTTCACAGCTCGAGCCTCCTCTGATGCCACCCTGTTCTTTCTTAAACTCAAGATTTTAAAACAAACAAAAACTTGAGCCAAAGTCTTTTGGCTGCGAAGGCCACCTGGCCCTACCAGACTGGCTCTGCGCAACTTCCCCCGGCACAGAACCAGTGCCAGGTGTTGGGGGGACAGCCCTCCGGCAGGCCGGAGTCTGGCAGGGGAGACTGACACTGAAAACAAACCCCTCACAAAATCCCATCAGTGAAAGCAATTACAAACTAAAGAACCAGTTGGTGGGACAACTAACAGGGATCCTCTGGGGATGCCTCTCAAAGGTAGAGCACTGGTCTGGCAGCTAAAAGCCCCAGCACAGCAGGAAAGGGGGGGGTACTTAAGTCTAGGAAGTCGGGTCAGGTATCCTGAGACTGACTGGAGCAAAAACATGACAGTTGAGGAGCTGAATCAAGCAAAGGGAAGGGGGTCAGTGAGACCTGTCTGGGCTGTGCAAAGGTCCTATGGCAAGCTGCTGGAGCACAAGGTGCTAAATCTTTTCCCTTAAGGGGTTTAACGCAGAAGGATATGATTTGGTTAAACCCACCTACCTATGGTCCTTCCGGACATTCTGAGCCCTTGAGGACAAAACCTCTATCTGGCGTCCCACCCTGCACCAGCAGACTGTATGGCAAAAACAAAACAGGTGAGGTAGATGAAGACCGTGCCTCCTAAAGAAAAGTCTGCACTAGACCGTCTGAAGAAATGAGTTTTATTTGTTTCAAAGTCCACACAGTAAGGAAAGCTGGGCTCTCCAGTGGCACTGGTAGGAACAAGGACAAAAAATGTGGTCTCTAATCAAGACACGGGGAGCCCGCAGGCGTGGCCCAAAAATCTTTTTTAACATGTCACCAATAAAGGCCATTTGAAGAATGTCAAAGAGCTTGGGGAAGGCCTGTCCCTTCAGTGTGCTGAACACCTCCCCTCCCCGCAATCTCTTGTCCACACAGGTAATTGACACAAAAAACCCCAGCCCTCCCAGAGATGAGCCATGCCCAAGTCTGGGCCTATCACTGGTTCCCTTAAGTGCACATCTCTGATGCTCCTGTCCTAGGCCCAAGGCATCACTAAACCCCTCTCGGAGCTGGGGCCTCCCACAGCTGGCCAGTGCTCTGCAGGGGCAGTGGGTGGGTTTCGGGGGTGGCTGCAGAGTCCCAGCTTCCCACCTCCATTCAGATAAAGTCAGGCACGTTTCCAATGACAAGTCCCTGAGGACATGTCCCCTCTATCCCCTGAAACAGACACCTTACTTGACAAGGTCCCTGGCCAGATCATGTCTGGTGAGGGGCTGGATGCAGACACCGCAGGCCTGACCCTCCAAGAGGCCACCTTCTCCCTCCCGGGGTTGCCTCCCTTCTTTCTATCCTGCTGGTGCTGCCTTCTCCCTCAGGGAGTCAGAAATACATTACCTCCAAGGCACTGAACAGGCACATGCCACCCCCAGATGGGAAGAAGGTGGTCCCCTGACGCATGACTGGGCCTCTGCCTCAGGATAGAAGTTCATCCAAAATGAACTTGTTTCATCACTTAATCAGGCAGATTCACATTTGTCAGTGAGCTTACTGATGAGGGGGATCCCTGGACTCATCAGTCACACTAGATGGTTCCTGCATCTCCCATAGCCAGCTGAGGCCAGGCCTCCTCTAGCAGGGCTCACATTACTTCTACCTGTGGATGGTTCTGCTCTGCCCATCCCCAGTGGGACTAGCCTGGTAAGTGGGACAGCCCCTGATGGCTGTGGTCAGCACTGCATTAAAGGAAATGCCAGCATCAGGTGGCTTCCCAAGGCAGTCCCCAAACTGACTGCAGTCTGCAGCTAACTGCTAGATGCACCCTGGGCCCTGGCAGCCAAATGGCTAGCGGAGCTGGTGCACTACACTCCCTCTGTGTCTGGTTCCTGTTGGGAGCTCTCCAGAGACCTGGTCTCTTTAGGAAAGGCTGCACCTCTGCTGGTGAGCAAGCCTCCTAACCCTTGGATAGCTCTGTGCGAGGAGCAGAGTGGAAGCCAGGACAAGCCCCAAAGCCATTCAGAAGATATGGAACCCCTGTAGCTCTGCCTGGAACCTTGGAGGACTACGTGTCCTATGAGAAGCCACTGAAAAATCTCCAATGTCAGGGCTCCCCTCCCACGGGCAGCAAAGCAATGGAAAACTGGTCCGGGGCAGAGACCGATGGAATGGTGGCCAGTGGGGAGCAGGGAGGGCAGAGCAGCTATGAAGGCCTGGGGGCTGGGTAAGGGAGTCCTGGAGCAGGGCCTAGCCCAGGCCCTGAAGTTCAGCCTCAGACTTGGCATGGCCCAGGGGCCGGAGAGTCCGCAGGGGCCTGCCCTCAGGCCCACTGTCCTGCTCCTCGTAGGTGGGGTTCCGGCGGCCCATGTCGAGGGGACAGAAGAGGCTGCGCTCAGTCCCAGCGTGGCTCTCCACCAGGGCCTCCAGGCTGGGGAACTCTGCAGGCAGGTGCTGGGGAGGAAGGGTCTTCAGCTCCAGTTCCCTGCCCCAGGCTCACACCAGTGCCCTGCCCCCCAGGTGCCCATTTTAGAGAGCAAGAAATGAGAGCTCAGAGTTATGATGTCATGGCAGGGCCAGACACTACACTTCCTCTCTCTTCCCAACCTGGGAAGGACTGAGGCATTCACCTTGGAAGTATGAGCACATGTGTGAAAAGCCTCACTACCCCATCCCAGAGGCTGTGTGAGTTCAGGCAAGTCCCTGTCTTCTCTGAGTCAGTGTCCTCCTCTGTTAAAGATGGGCTATGGTGTGGGAAAGCAAGGCAGGCAGACGAAGGGGGTGGAAAGTGGGATTAGGGTGGGGCCAGAGAAAGTCAAACAGGATGTGAGGTAGACTCAGGAAGTCACCAATTAGGAAAAGGTGGGGCATCATGGCAAAAGGCAGAGCCAGAGATGGGACAGGGCAGGGACAGAGGCCTCCTTCTTACCTCTAGACAGTAGCGGCCCAGATGGTTCCGGAAGACCTGGTGGGGCACCACCCCGCATTGTGTCCTCACAGACAGGCACCACTGGCCATTGGTGCCTGGCTCAGGCCACAACAGGAAGGCTCCTAGCACGTCTCTCCGTAGCAGGGCCAGTGCACAGGGCCTGGGGTGCAGAGGCAAGAGGCTGAAGTTAGAGCCCTGCTCTGGTCTCAGCCCCAGGCTGCTGCTTTGGGGAGGGACAGAACCCCAACAGCACGGAGGCAGCCTGGGAAGTAATAAATGCCTTCCACATGCAGCGCCTGGCTGGGCTGCGTGGTGCAGGCCTATGATCCCAGCTACTCGGGAGGCTGAGGCAGAAGGATCAGAAGATTGAGGCCAGTCTCAGCAACCAAGTGAAACCCTGTTCCCCAAAAAGAGAGGTGAAGTCTGGGGATGTCACTCAGTGGCAAAGCGTCCCCAGCCTGATCTACCCCCCAATTCCGGAAAAAAGTAAAACAACAACAAAAAGCCACAACAGTACTTGGCCCAGAGTTGCTATTCAATGAGAAGGAGCTCTCAGGAGCTCAAAGATCCCCCAGGGGTCCTCTGAGACCCCATCAGGAGAGAGGTTTAAAGAGGCTGGCCTGTGACAGGCCTGAAGTCACCAAAGCCAGGTCATTCTGCCCCCACACAGGGCTGCACGCATGTCATGGTCCTGCAGGGGCCCCCTGCCAGGTCTCTGCCCAACCCAAGGAACTGGACACTAGGCCAGGCCGGTTCCCTCCTACCTGGAGATGCCAGCAAAGGCCCAGATGTTCTCTGTCAGGCTGCCCTCACTCTCCACCAGGCACGAGGGACCACCAGGAGTGCGGGGCCATGCCTCCCATGCAGCAGGAACTATGGAGACCACCCAGGGGTCAAAGGGAGAGTGGCCAGATCCCTCCATGTCCGCCGGCCTGCCCAGCCACTACAGGTCCTCTCCCCATCATCTGTCTCCAAACCAAGCCTCCCTCCCTGACCAACAGGTGCACACCCAGCCCCCTGCAGACACCACAGTCCCATTCACACCCACTCCCCAGTTAAAGTTCACACCACCCACGCAAGCCCAGAGGCACACACACACCCAGGGACCCACATGCACATGCATTCATACACAGGCCTCCATGGGGTACAGCCACAGCCTCGCACTGGCCTCTGCCAGCCCTGGGGCACAGAGACAGGGGCACTCCCACAACTCACAGGCCTCCCGAGCCGACAGCTGCAGCTGTGTCTCATAGGTGCAGGCTCGGTAGGCCCCGGAGCGGATCACCTTGCTGCGAATGGCCTTCTTGCGCACCAGCGTGGGCGAGCAGTAGGGATTCCCCAGGCGGGCATGGCGGGCACCCCCACGGCCTTCGGACTCTGGCAGCTCCTTCTAGGGCACCAAGAGGGGCCCATGGGCAGACAGACTCAGGCCCAGCCATGCCAGGTCAGGCAAACCACCGCTTGTCCAACACAACCCCCCCAGCCCTTGCCCAGCTCCCTTGCCCTAACCCGCAACCCCTGGGCTGGGGGCTGCATACCCCACCGCCACCCACTGGCCCCTCAGCAGGCAGCCGCCGAAAGGAGACGAGAGCATGGACGTTCTGTGAGAGCTGATCACGGCCGAAGGGCTCCCGCACCATAGCAGGGGGGCCCCCAGGGCTGGAGAGTGGCTTCAGGGACACGTCCCCTGCAGGCCCCGGGCAGGGCTCAGGCTGCGCCCTCTCCTCCGGGTGCTGAAGGAGGTAAGCAAGCTGGAAGGAGCGGCAGAGCAGCAGGTGCAGGATCTGGACCTGAGGAGGGGGAGGGGCTCAGCTGGGAGAAGCCTCCTGGGGTGCACCTCGGCAGGAGCCACCCACAGTCCAGGGCTAGGGAGCCCCTTGCCCCTCGCTGTTCTTCCTGGGAAAACTCCTCCTAATCCCTTAGAACCTCACCACCAAGCAGCCTCCCTACCAAGGGCCCTATTCCTTTAACAAATATGGACACTTACCTTGGCAAGGTGTCACTCATGCTGGGAGCAGGGGAGATGACGGTGGGCTACATGCACCTCCCCAAGGCTTACCATCCCTCCCCATAACTGCCCCAGCCCCTCTCAGAGCAATGAGCAGGGCCTGGGTTTTGATTTAAGCCTGCAGCTCCCGTGACCCAGGGCAGGACAGGGCGCTCTGTGTGCCTCAGTTTCCTCATCCCCGCCTCCTGCGCTCCTCAGAGGAGCTAGAGAAGTGAGCTCCACACATCCCACCCACACTCATGCCAGCCAGACCCAGCAAGCTGGCACCGTGAGCTTCAGCTACATGTCACCCCACTACTCAGCACAGGGCTTGACATTCAGCGGTAACAGCGAAGCCTTGATGATGGACCCAAACCCAGCCTCTACTGGCCAAACTGGCTGTCACGGCTCTGTCACACTACGGCCACGCTGGCTTTGACTTCCCAGACCTCCTGCCTAGTGCTCACCCTACCACCCACCCAGGGCCATGCACTGGGACAGTGAGACCCGGACCAAGGCGCTGCTTTCAAAAAATTCAAATGTCTCTAATTACTGACAGACGGCAGCTGGAGTGTGGTCCTGCCGCGGGACTCCACAGGAGGAGCCATGCAGAGGGGTGGAGGTGGGCAGAGCCCTAAAGGTGAGTGGGGTGAGAAAGGAGGGGCAAGCCTTCCCGGCAAGGAGGACGGCACGAGCAAAGGCCTGGCAAGACTGCCCATCTCCAAGAGCAAGGCCCCTGACTGGCCTTAGAGGGTCTTCAGTGGGCAGAGCCAAAGCAGGAGCCAGTGTGGTAAGGTTGGAAGGCTCCCTGGAGGGAAGCCAATCCCCAAAGGCCTTTGTCCCTGAAACCTGCCCTGGTGCTCAGCACAACCCACTCAAGCCTCAGTGGTGTCCCTGCCCCAGCCCGGGGGCCCCAGATACCTCTCCAGGCTGGCTGCCCACAAAAAGGTGGCAGAAGAGCTTGCTGGCGGGGCTGCGTGGGTTCCGGGCGATGAAGGAAAACTGGCAATTGGCAGGACACCAGGTGGAATAGAGGATGCGTCTCAGGGCATGGGCCATCAGGAGCACCTGGACAGGCAGAGCAGGTGCCGGGCCTCATGAGACCCCACCTGGGCAGCAGTGGCCAGTCCTTGGGCCCCACACACCACCTACCCTCAGCCTGCACGCCTAGGGAAGGGCCACCTGCTCCTGGGGTACAGGCCTTCACTCCTTGCAGGCCCACCCCATAGCGCCCTCACGTGGTATTGGGCTTGTCCCAGTTGCAGACCCGTAGGTTGGGATCATCACCCCTATTTTATGGAACCCAGAGGCAGAGCAGTGATCTCCTGCCATGGTGTGGTGGCCAGCCCTGGGTTGCATGTCTGGGTCACTTGGCCATGTGACAGTGAATGAACCCTGGCTCTGCCACTGGTTCTCCGTTTAAGTGCAGTCCTCTGAGCATCTCCTGCTGAGACGTGTGTCACGTGGGTAGAACCCTAGGACCTCTCTGATGGGCTGCTGATCGGTATAGGGAAGCCCATGCAAGCGACACAGGACCTAACTTCAGGAGCCCGCAACACCTGGCTCTGGGACTCCATGCTCACCACGACCTTAGGTGAGAGGGACTGCAGTTGTGAGGTATGGTTCTGGGGCACAGGCACCCAAGCAGGGGTTCCTGCCAGCTCCAGCTGAGACAGGCCCCTTCTGCAGCCACAGGAGGGTGTCCACAGCCAATACCAGGCATGGTACCTACCAAAACCTCGTGGGATAATGTCCCTGCTTTGGGCCAAAAGGTGGCCCCCAAAGAAGATTTTGGAGGGCCAGGGATGAGAAACTTGCCAGAGCTTGACCCTGGGGATAGGCCCTTGAAGAAAGAATGTCCAGCTGGACGCGGTGTCGCACACCTGTAATTCCAGTGGTGTGGGAGGCTGAGGCAGGAGGACTGCAATTCAAGGCCAGCCTCAGCAATTCAGCCAAGCCCTAAATGACTTAGTGAGATCCTATTGCAAAATTAAAAAAAAAAAAAAAGGCTGGGGATGTGGCTTAGTAGTTAAGTACCCCTGGGTCCAATCCCGAAAACCAAAACCAAAAAAGAAAGAGTGCTCAAAGGCAGAGCAAAGGGGAACACAAGGGGCCCCCAGAGGAACTCTCCAGGGCTGAGCTGAGGCCACGGCAGGTGGTAGCAAGCTTGTCCTGAGAGAGGAGACACCTGTCCCTGCTGAGTTCTCACCTGACCCTCTTGAGCTCCTACCTCTCCTTCCCCGCTGTAGACCTTGAGGCCCTGAAGGCTGAACTTCAGGATGACAGCGCGGCGACGGGGACAATCCTGGGTGGAAGAGTGTTGGTGGGAGAAGCTGTCACCTCCCAGGCTTGGCCCTGCTCAGTCACATCCACCAAGGCCTGCTCAGCCCATCCACCCTGTCTGCCAGGTGACAAAGCTCCAGGCGATGGATGCCCCAGAAGGGAGAGAAGTGGGGATACAGAACACCCCCAGGCAGGCCACAGGTAGTCACCTCACGACCACCTCCCCTGTCTACTGGCTGTGGCCTCGAGCTGCAGGGCCAGGGGAAGGAACTCACTGGGCATGAGGGACAGAGCTTTGGGAGTCTGGCTGTGGGTAGCCACTGGGCCACCTCTCAAGTCCCTTTCATCCTGCCCCTCTGTGGGCCTCACATGCCCACTTTATGACTGGGGAGGAGCTGGATCTAGTCTCAGGGTTTGTTCCCAGTCTGACATCCCAAGACTGTGATCCTTACCGGGGAGGTGCCTCCTTGTCCCCATCCCCCTCACCTTCAGGGCCCACAGCCATTGCTGCACCAGCCACACGCTGTCCTGGGTGTCCAGGTCATCCACAGGGAAGGAGCCCACATACTGTTTGGTGAGGGGGCAGGAGGAGGCAAGGCAGGGGAGTCAGGCCCACAGCTCCTGACCCCATCCTCCAAGGTCTCTCTCCCTTGGCCCACTGCTCTGCTAGGCTGTGGGCAGTGACAGAGACCCAGGCTCTGCTGCTTTCCCATTCAAGCCCTCTGAGGGCCCAACTCCCCGTGTGTGTGCGCACACATCGCAAAGCCTGGGTCAGGGAGGGAGACAGGGAAGCAGGTCCTTGATCCCAAGCTCCTCCCCACCCCCAGGGCCTGTCCCCAAAGACTTCCCACCAGGGCACACCTGGAGGGAGCAGCCCACCCACCTGGGCAAACTTGGTGATGCACCTGGGCCGGTAAGGGGCAGGCCCGCAGTCGGAGGCCCTCCGACCCCCTGCCCCAGCCCTCTGCATGGCCCCCAGGATGCCCAGCTTCAAGCTTCACGGAGACAAGGCTGCAAAGGGCAGGGGAGAAAGTTGGTTTCCAAGCAGGTAAGGCAAGTGCCCCCAACAGAGGCCCCGAGTTCACCCTCCGGTCATTTATTCCACAAATCCTCACTGAGTTCTTGCTATGTGCTGACAATGTCCTGGGCCCTGGGAACACAGCCCTGAAAAGAATGATGAAACCTGCCTGCCTTCATGGCGCCCACGTTCTCATGGAGAGAAAGACATTCAAATAGCTTTGTGGCCCGCTCACAAGTTGCATGGCCAGAGCTGAAGAGGTTGGGGACCTGCTTCACAAGTCATGGCTCATTTGGCCCAGCCTGATGCCAGCTCCTTCCCAAAGCACCTGGCCACATTGAGATCACAAACCCAGAACCCAATCAGGCCACGCACTCAAGCTGAATCAGGACGTGGAGAAGGTTGGCAATCATCCAGGGGGCTGCGGCACATCACCCTCTTCCCATCCCAGGTTCTGGTCTTTCCTTGGGCTCATGGCCCAGATCCACTAGTGGGCAACAAAGTAACTTCCCTTACCAGACTGCTCAAGGGATAGTACCTGTTTCCCATTAGAGCTCAGAATCCCAGCTGGTGCTCTACAACTGTGGCATCAATGCCTCCGCGTTCCAGTGGTTGCAAGAAAGAGCAGCCAAATGCCTCTGCCAAGGCCTCCCAAGGCTTCAGCTCTGTCCAGAGTTTCCTGAGGCCAACTTAGAACCTCCATCTGCCCCCATTCTGGCCAGTTCTCTCACTAGCCGACTTGTAACCACTGACTTGGTCAGACAGCTCCTGATCCAAATCTAGCGTGACTTCGGGAAAGCTGCCTCACCTCCTGAACCTCCATTTTCTCATCCACAAACCTGGGATAAGGAGAGGTACCCATGAGAGCTCAGTGCTGGGCAGGTACCAAGCACAGATCCAGCCAGGCTTGGAGCTGATGCTCAACAACGTGGTCACAGGGGATAGGAACACCAAAAACTGCTGTTCGGGAGGAAGCTTAAGAAGACTACAGGGTCTGGTAACTTTTAGTTGCCTCCTTGACTGGGCCACACTGACAGCAGACCCTGGGGTCTGTGAGAGCAAGACAGAGGCCAGCCTGGAGCTGTGACTCCCACCAGGAGACAAGAGAAGTCAGACAGGACCTGGGCAGGGAGGGGCATATCCTAGGTGTGCTGCAACCCAGCTTTGCAAGTGCCTGGAGAAGGAGGGTTTGGGTGCTGCCGGACAGAAGCTCTGTGCCAAGAGCCCAGGTTCCTGCCTATGACCTTCAGCTCCAGGCTCAGGCTAGTACGCAGAAGCCAACAGCCATCTACCACTTTCAATGAGCAGCCAGCACAGGAAGAGATGGAAAATAAAGGCTTCGTTGTGCCTTTGAAGCCTCCCAGGTCTCCCCATACCACCCCCCTCCTGCTTCGCTGGGCTGTCACACCCTTTGCTTTCTGATCCATCATGTCCTTTTTCACATCATGTCCTTTCTCTACTGTACTTTTGATGTTTAAATAAAGCAAAGTTAGATGTGCAACTGGCTCTAAAGCCACGTGACGACTGTTCCAGGTAAGGAGGGGGGCCACTCTTTAACTTCATAATCACATCACGGGGCTGGACCACAAAATAAGCATGGGAGGGGGCAGTGGATAGAGAGGCCACAGCTACAGAAGTGGGAACAGAGCAGGTGAGAAGACAAACAAAAGCAAGAGACAAAGGAGAGCTTTGGGAGGGAGCAATCAAGCACACACTTCACACCTTGCCCCTGCCACCTGGTGGTCCCTCTGGCACTAAGCATGAGAAGAAAGAGCCACAAGGGTTACCACACTCACACGCAGAGACAGCTAGCTCTGCCTAGGGCTGCAAACAGCCTCCTCCCTCCAGATCCAGAGCCGCAGTTTTCAGTGTTCCCAGTGTCCCCCAGTGACAGGGGTGGGGAGGTCAGGTCACAGGCTCTCTACTGCCCACCCCATCCACCATTAGTCCCATCCTTACCTGTCCCTCTGGTCCTCAGCTTCCTTGGAAACAGTTTCTCCCTTTCTCACCTCCTTCCCTAGCCTCAGGGCATTTCATCTGGAGTTGGGGGGTTCCCAGAGGACCAGGGTGGGCACCAGTCTCATCCTAACCCTGGAAATGGACCTGTTCACCCATTTCAGGTACAAACACCCACTTCTCTTTGAACCAGAGTTAAGTTTTACACAGGCGCCTGATAAAGAGACATTTGGAATGAGTGTGGGGCTCTCCTCTTGCTCTTCTGAGGTGGCCCTGCTTAGAACCGGACAGGGAACTGGACAGGTTGACCTGCTTCGTCGTCAAGCACTGGGTGCTCTGAGCTCAGCCGATGGTGGTCCAGGAAGTCAGTCACTTGCCCAAGGTCATATAGCACAAAAAGGGACACTGGGAAGCAAAACCAGGACACTGTCCCTAGGCCACGGTACCCTTCTATTGACTCCCCTCATCCACATAAATAGGGTGTCCACCCTTGCAGTTTAGTGGGTCCCAATCTGCCCAGCAGGTGAGTCAAGGAAGCAGTCACAGGGGCAGGGGAATTTCTTAGGTGCTGGAGACAGATATGACCAACAGAATGGCTGCTGCCCCTCTGGCTATGTGCCAGATGGCCTGAGTTTGCCCCAACGACTCCAATCTCCTGCCTGGTTCCCACTGCTCCAACACACCCCCTGATGCCAGCGCCACTTGCCCTGGACTGTGCTGCAACCACTGAAATGGTTTGAGGTCCAACAGGATCAGCTGATGTGACCTTATCAAGTCCCTTAGCCTCTCAACTTCCAGTTCCCCAGCTGTGAAGTGAGAATCATTATAGGGGCCCCCTCCTGGGGCTGTTCATTGACCTATTCCTCCTGAGAACATTTCCAAGCATCAACCATGTGCAAGGTGGACAGAAGTCCCAGGCCTCACAAAGCACCAAGTTGGGGTGAAGGGACGACATTCAGTGAGGGATCGAATAATTTGAAGAAAAACATTCAGTGGCGCAAAGAGGAGAAGATATTATTTAATACGGCGCGGTCGAGGACGGCCTCCCTCAACAGAAGACATCTGAGAGGAAAGTGCTGCCCGTGGGGGCTCGGGGCTAGCCCCCTGGAGGAGCAGAGCGCTCCGCAGCGTAGGCTGTGACCTCAGGTTGCTGTTGTCGCTCCCACGGAGCAAGGCCAGCCTTTCGGCCCACAGCCCACAGGCGGGGCAGAAAAAGTCCTCGGGCCAAGGAGCCGGAGGAGACACGGTGGAGGTGACGGAAACGCGTGACGGACGGAGGCGCCGGGTGCTCCTCGCTCTCAGAGACCCTCCGCACCTCTGCGCCCCGGACCCACCCCCGCCCCCCAGCTCCCGGCGCTCACTCACAGTGGCCGCAGCTTCTCGAGTTCCGAGTCCCTGCAGCTGCGTCCCGCGGTCCCCTCCGCTTAGCCCTGCGCGTCTCTGGAGCGCGGAGTCCCGGGCCCGCCCCGCCCCGCCCCTGCCACCTCCGCGCCGCGCGCCCCCCACGTGGCCGCGGGAACGGACCCCCAGCATCACCTGGCGGCGGCACCGGCCTCGCCCACCAATCGGGGCCCGCGATGCCGCTCCGCTCGATCGCGCAGACCAATCAGAAGCCGCGAGGGTCCCTGGCGCCGCCCACGTCGACTTGCGCTGGGGCGCTCCGCCTTAAAGGGCCGGGGGATGGGGGCGCTGTCCCTGCTCGCCGAGGGAGCCTCTGTCTGGGCTAGGGTTGTCATCCAGATGGCGACTCTCCAGTGCCTCAACCGAAAAGCCGTCCCTGACCCGGGCCAGTCTTCACTCACTGCACAGAGCCCTTCGGCGCTGGACAGAGCCGGCTCTCAGTAGGCGTTTTGTGATGGTGGTTTTGACCCGGCCTTCCTGGGCAGCTGGACCAGTCTCACCTTCCCTCTGCCCCAAGACGGCCGGGGGCAGGGGTGTCGGGCATCCTCTTCCCGGCTGGCCGTTCTCATAAGAGGATTGACTGACCCTGTCCTTTGAGTTACAGGGAAATCCACTTTAGATGAGGAAAATGGGAAAGCGAATCCAGCCAGTGTTAGCCACAGCGCTGAGCGGGAGAGCGTTTTTGTTTGCATCAGGCCTGGCTCCCTGTAGGTGCCAAAAATTAAAGAGCAAATTCGAGTCAGCCAAGCCTTTGGGGCGTATTAAACCTGAAATCTGCAGAAAACGCCGTAAACTGTCCATGTGCCACACCACGGAAAAGCCAGGACACAAGGGTCCAAAGCCTGCGTGCCCGGGCAGAGGCAGAGGCATCCCGTAAGAGAGGCCAATTTGGGAAATTGGATCTGGGTCTAGGGACCTCGGGGTCCGGGCAGGTTTGAGCCACTTAGGCCATACTAGGCATTCCCCTTGTCTCCTTGGGCACCTGGAAACCCTGCCAGAGGCCGCAGTGAGATGTAATTGTCCTGGCATGTTCCACATCTAGGCACTTCCTTTTACTAAAAGTGGGGTCTTAGGCAAACACCTTAATCACTTTGATCCTCAGGGGCCTCATCTGTAAAGTGGTGTCACCACCCTGACTCACAGCCATGTAAGGATTCAGAGGAGTTAATGGGGGCAAAAAGCTGGCACAGCACTGATGCATGGTAAGTGAAGCGCTCAGCAAACACTAGCTGATATTAGGCTTTGCTTTTATTCTTGAGTCTCTTTTGTATGTGACTGAACAGCAAGGGTTTACTGAATCCATGTGTCAAGTGGCCTCACCACTGCCAGCCTCTAGCCTCCAGCCCAGGACCTAGAAGGAACAAGGTTTGTTTGTAGGTTGGTCTTGCTCTCGGAAAATCCAATTTATGAAACTCAGAAACTCAGAAGTTAAAGGGACAATTCCTTTTACCTCTTAAAAAAAAGCAAACTCACCTCTACAACTCTTTTTTTAAAAGCATTTAAAATTTAAGAGGTCACACTAATTACTAAATCCATTGTCCCTCTTTTGAGACTATGTAGAGAAAGCAAAACAAGGAACTGTTATTAAATACCAACACCAACAAGTTTCTGATACATATAATTTACTCAGATACAAGCAATTCTAAAAACAATGACTGGAATTTGTTTCAGGTCAAAGTGACAAAATCCAAAGAATTAAATTCAGATGATGAAGAGCTAAACCCAGAGGGAGAATTTTGCCTTTTAAGTCTTTTTTTCAGAAGGAGTGGCAGGAACTGTGCTAGGTCCCAGTGACACAAATTTACAACAGAACATAAAATACCACAAAAGTCCTATGTGGAAAAATAAATGCAGCCGGGTGCAGTGGTGCACGCCTGTAATCCCAGCGGCTCACAAGGCTGAGACAGGAGGATTGCGAATTCAAAGCCAGCCTCAGCAATTGACCAAGGCACTAAGCAGCTCAGTGAGATCCTGTCTCTAATAAAACACAAAACAGGGCTGGGGATGTGGCTCAGTGGTTGAGTGTCCCTGAGTTCAATCCCTGGTACCCTCTCCCAAGTAAAAGTACATTAGAGGTATAAGCTCAAAGGTTTATGTTGAAGTTGAACTCAGTGATGTCAGTCATCTGTCTCCTGGGCAAGCCAACCTAGTTCCGCCCAGGCCAGGCATATGTATCTAAATCTGCCATTCATGGCAGAACGGCTCTCAGGAGCCACTGCTTCAACCATTGGATTAATGACTCACCTTGTGCAGGAAGCCCAAAGGAGTTTCCCATATTAAGCAGGGAAGGGAATGACAAAAAAAGGGAAGATGGGGTGGGGTAAGAGTCATGATTGCTGAACACGTTAGCACACA